ATTTCACCAGATTGACTTGGCTACAGCCACCAACCATGACCCAACTGCTGCAACCTGCACTCAACAAACTCACCTTACAGCTTACCCTGTCATGATGCCATACAACCATCACTAACTATATGAACAAATATATAAAAAATATATTATATATACATATATATATAATTATATATACACATTTATATACACACACATATATATAATATATATATATACACATATATGTGTGTACTGATAACCACATTGTGTGTATACCGTTCCTTCCCTCAGAGTACCTAAAGGAACTTAAGACAACGTCAGTCTGTAGTCAAATCACCTACAGTACAGCTCCATCTCATTACAATAATTATGGTGTATGAAAGACATTGTGTAATTATTGATGAATATAGAATTTCCCAAGTCTGACCCTAAGGCAGAGTCCAATGAGGTTAGAAAGACTAATGTTCATGAAGAATTATTTTGGGTTGTCACTCTTCAATGTACTTGGTGGTTCACTGATCACCAGTCACATCATGTCCAAAGCATTTTATAAATTTCTAAGTTATTGTCAATGAATGTTCCATTTTCCCTAAGCAGTGGACAAATATTTGAGATGGTTTTTGTTATATATTTTGCATAAAATAAATATTTAGTTTTTTAAATTTTGCTATGAGTTTACACAGTGCCCATAAGACAGTAGAATGTTTATAATTTTAGCTTCAATATTTTTCATCTTGCTAGTAAACTTTTTGTTTCATTCTTGGGAGAGTGGGGTATTTGCATAGATATTTACAGTTCAATAAGTAAAAAATATAATTTCTAGGAAATTTGTAACAAAAAGATGAGGAAGGTAAACAAATACTGTCCACTAAACATCAGCTTATAATGTTTTTTAATATTTACATTTAATCAAAATGATAAAATACAGTCGGTAATTCAAGCCAACCTCACCTAGATATCCTATTGGAGGCGGCATCGATGGCTCCCCCAATACGTCCTCTTTTGCTTGCTGGTCCCGTTGAAGATGCAGAGGCAACTGTAGGCGGTGGCAACACACTGCTCAGTGTTGTACTGTCATCAGTGTCTAATTCATCCTCCAAGTGAAAGCCACCACGACCTCGTTTTCGAGTATTGTTGATATTGCTTGAATCATCATCCATCATAGAATCATCATCCTGTGAATAAGATATTATAGTAGGCTAGCTGCTTTCCTAAAAAGGGAATTTTACTTAAATGAATATAACTTACAACCACATTATGCAATCTTACTTTATTTATTGTCAGGGTTAGGTGCCTGAAAATTGTAACTATAACTGAAATGACGTTAAGTGAAATAACAAAAAACCTCATAGCTATATAAATAGTAGTGCTACATAAACTAGTATGTAACACTGCTATAGTAGTTATAACAATACATAAACCCAGTGTTATAAATAGCGTTATATTCCTTGGGTATTGGAAGGATGTTTGGTAATTTTTACCAAATTACACACACACACATACACGTACATGTACGTGCACGTGTGTAAAAGAAAATAGAAGAAAATGGAAGAGAATTGTCTGAAGACAGCAGAAAAAGAGGCAATATGATCACCACTTACAAAATAACAGGAATCAACCAAATTGACAAAGAGGAATTCCTGAAACCGGCAACCTCAAAAACAAAAGGTCACAGAGGCTTTCGCAACAGAACAAAGAGAAGTCCCCCAAACTAAGATATTCCAGTGCTGCTGGTAATAAACCAGGCAGCACTGGAAGGTTTCAAAATAAGCAGAGACGAGGTTAGGAGGTATCTGCTGGATCTGGATATGAGAACAGCTGCTGGACCTGATGGAATCTCACCATGGACACATTTTTAGTGTAGAAGCAGTTTGCTTGCCACTCTCCATGGTGTATAGGAAATCACTGGAAAAAAGACACCTACCAGAAATATTGAAAACAGCAAATATAGTCCTAATATACGAAAAGGGCAACAGGCAAGAGACACTAAACTACAGGACAGTGTTCCTAACTTGTATACCATGCAACATGGAGATCATGAGAAAAAAATCTAGTAACACATCTGGAGAGAAGGAACTTCATAACACATCAACATGGGCTCAGGAATGTCAGACCTTGCCTCAAATATTTAACAGAATTCTACAACCTGGTGACAAAGATTAAGAAAAAAAAACAGAAGGGTAGGCAGATTGCATTTTCTTATGTCAAAAATCCTTTAACACAGGGAGCCGGTCGGCCGAGCGGACAGCACGCTGGACTGTGATCCTGTGGTCCCGGGTTCGATCCCAGGCGCCGGCGAGAAACAATGGGTAGAGTTTCTTTCACCCTATGCCCCTGTTACCTAGCAGTAAAATAGGTACCTTGGTGTTAGTCAGCTGTCACGGGCCGCTTCCTGGGGGTGGAGGTCTGGTCTAGGACCGGGCCGCGGGGACACTAAAAAGCCCCGAAATCATCTCAAGATAACCTCAAGATCATCTCAAGATAACAGTACCCCATAAAAGGGTGGTGCATAAGCTGGAGAAACAGGCAAGGAGTAACTGTAGGGTGCTCTAGTAGATAAGGAGGTACGTAAGCAATAGAAAGCAGAGTTACTTAGAGGAGTGAGACCTCATATTGGAGACCAGACCACACACTAGAAATTGAAGGGACGACGATGTTTCGGTCCGTCCTGGACCATTCTCAAGTCGATTGTGAGAATGGTCCAGGACGGACCGAAACGTCGTCGTCCCTTCAATTTCTAGTGTGTGGTCTGGTCAACATACTTCAGCCACGTTATTGTGACTCATCGCCTGCACCTCATATTGGAGTTGTCACCAGTGGAATCCCACAGGGTTCTGTACTTTGACCTATCCTGTCTTTGATATATGTAAATGATCTTCCAGAAGGTATAGAATCAATCCTCTAAATGTTTCTTGATGCTAAAACTATGAGAAAGATTAAGACTGGACAATTTGGGAGATGAATTCCTTCAAGAAATCAGGGAGAGAAAGATCTGGGGTTTAATATTACACTGAACCTGTCACCCGAAGCACACATCAAGACAAGTACAGGAGCAGCAGCATATGCTAGGTTACATACAAGATTCTCATGAGGATTGATATAGTAGATAAAGATTTAACACAGGTGGCACAAGGAGACGTTGGTGGAAATTTAGTACTCAAATGAACCACAGAGAATTTAGAAAAAACTTTTTCAGTGTCATGGTAGTTAAATGGAATATGCTAGGAAGTAATGTGGAAACAGAGACACTCCATACACAGTTTCAAATGTAGATTTGTACACAGGTTGAATGACCGTTGAGAGGAAAAACCAAAGAGCCGAAGCTCAACCCCCGTAAGCACAATTAGACGAGTATTGAACCTATAAATCAAGTGAATAAATTCCATTCACCTAGGCTCTAGGAGACTAATTGTTGACCCCAAGCACGTGAGGCCAAAGCTCTATCGATCAAGCTAAGTGAATAGATACTAAGAACACTGACAAAGAAAGATCTAGGGGTACTGCCCACTAATAGCATGAACATATTACACAACAAAATTTATCTTTCTTCACTCAGTTGCTCATAATGTTGAGTCAGGAGAAATATTAAGTGAGCAGTACATGAGGGGCTGACATCTATCTTGTGGTGGTTGTGGTAGAATCCAGACTAGCAATGAGTAGTAAATTGCTAGACTAGCATCAGAGAGGCTACTTGGCAGTCTCTCTATGCCAAGCAGTGCTTGGAGGCTGGGATTTTTAGTTTAGATGAATGGAAATTTTGGAGATAATTTAAGGCTGAATACAGTCCTCTTCAGCACCCTTTACCCCAGAATAACATGATGAATACATTTGGAAAGATGTCTGCTGTGATGAGATATAATGTTAACCTGTTATACTGTAACTAGTCCTGTCCAAGAGAGAGCGGGACATTTATATAAGCAACAAATGGTTCAACTTAATCATCAATAAATTGTTTTTGTTCATCACAAGTTGGCAATCTTTCATGTCATGATGCATGCCTACTGTCATACGAGTTAAGGGTGATTTTCCCATTAAAGATTACGATTACCACAAACCTGTATGAAGATTTTACCGTGCCAAATAATACAAAACCATAAAAACAACTACCAGGAAAAATTCCCAAGTACCATATGTACATAAACATGTCAAGAACTATTAAGAGCTTAAGAGCAGGGAATTATATGGCATACAAAGCTATTACAACAAATTAAATATGAGGATGCTTCAGAACTGGAAAAGTTGAAGGAGGATCTATATATAGGCCATCTTTCTGGATGGTAGATTATCCACTCAACGATTATATATATACATATGTATAAAATACATTTATTTTACCTTGACCTCCTTCATTACTGGCAGATCTATGCTGCTGCTTGTTGTGACATTATCCTTGGATAGCATGAAAGGCAACAACACAAGGTATACTGTCAATATGTCATTGACATATATATTAGTAAACAACTTTCACCACTGCACCTAAAGATGAATAGTTATGAATGTTTATCTTAACATTTACATTGGGTTCTACTAGGCCATATACTGGTGACTACAGTTATCATGGCAATCAACTGTTTATGTCTGCAACGGATGAAACCCAGAAGCATTAGTACCCATGTACCACTATTAATCCTGAAGGCTGTAACTACATGCGGGAAATTGTTGCACTTATTGCATTAAGTGTCTCTAATTTAAACAAAACTTAATTCAATTGTCATAATAAGAAGTTTTACTCAAGTAGAAAAATATTTACTAGCATAAGCAAAAGTACATCAAGCACTGTAAGAATGTACCTCAAATGTTTTCATCAATTACCAAGCCACAGTTGTCAGTAGCCGTCACTATTACAAAGGTTATATAGAAAATGCTACATCACACGTTTTCAGTTATGAAATACCTTACAAAATTATTATTTCAGGGGATCTTCAGGCAAATTATGATATACAAATTTTTTCTGCATACATTCAGAAAAAGTAAAGCTTTGAATGAAGATGAAAAACCTCTTTCTTAACCTAGTAAGTCCGCTGTTCCCTAAAGTAATGATCTGCTGTGTTCACTGGACAGGATCATGTATTACTTGTGCACTGGTACCATCATGAACTTTCTGGTTGCCTCTGCAGGATCATTATAGGAGCTAGGGAGTATTGGTAATTATTCAAACCCACAACAACCAACAAGAGGTATATTCATAAAAATTCATAGCCCTTTCAAGCCTTTCTTTGGCATCACAGGTAATCACCAAAGGAGGTGTCTCTATGCAACCTGTCCTCTTACAAATTACGTCGCTTTTCGCTCGTATGCGCTACGGCCAAAAATGGACGTACACACAGAGATCACAATTGCGTGATGCATCAAATGAACAAATCCACAAGGGTCGTGACGAGGATTCGAACCTACGTCCGAGATCTTCCCAGACACTGTGTGATATGACTGCACTTGTATATGGTTTTCATTTTGATATTTTCATTTTTACCATAGTGTCTTCTGCAAAGAATGATACGGTACTATAGTCTGTGTTCTAGTCTATACCGATATAAAAATGACAAAAAAATACTGGAGCAAGCACAGAACCCTTGGGGATTGAGCTTTTCACAGTGGATGATTTAAATTTTACTTTGTTGAAAATTACTCTTTAGGGTATTTTTGTTAGGAAATTAAAGAGCCATCTTCCTACTTTGCCAGTACTGTAATTCCTTTTGAGCATATTTTGTGTGCAATTACACCATGGTCATATGTCAAAAGCTTATCAAAATCTGTACATATTACATCAGCATTTTGCTTGTCTTCCATGATATATTAGGTCATGCCATAGTGGTCTAGCAATTGTGAGAAACAGGAGTGCCCTGCTACTTGCAATGTTTCTTGATAGTTGGACTGAAATGAGGGATTGGAGAATGAAGACGCCAGCAATAAGGAAAGTGATAAGCAAACTTTTTCAAGTAACAAAATGGTATGTTGCATCTCTAAGATTGGCCTAACATAAGAGTTGTGATAGTGTTTTGAAAGAGTCCATGATTAAGTTTCTGAAAGCCATTCTGATGTGCATCAGTTTCCTACATGCAATTGTTATCCTAATTATATGCACTTCTGCTGTTAATGCTGGTACAGTATTATGCCTGTTTTCAATCATTTCTTTTGTTCTGCTACTTGTAGTTGAGAGGCCTGACAGCCGAGTGGACAGCGCTTCGGATTCGTAGGTCTGAGGTTCCGGGTTCGATCCCCGGTGGAGGCGGAGACAAATGGACAGTTTCTTTTACCCTGATGCCCGTGTTCACCTAGCAGTAAATAGGTACCTGGGAGTTAGACAGCTGGTACGGGCTGCTTCCTGGGGGTGTGTGTAACAAAAAGGAGGCCTGGTCGAGGACTGGGCCGCAGGAACGCTAAGCCCCGAAATCATCTCAAGATAAATAAGAGTTAGGTAACTATCTTCTTATGATGTAGCTTTCTTTTTGTGCTCTCTAGTTTCATCCTATCTTCATTAATTTGTGCTTGCTGGCATCAAACTTCAGAAGCTTTGATGCCAATGGAGACCTTTTAAGATTTTATGAATGGACTCTTGTTATTCTGTGGCTGGACATTGTTATTCTGTTATTCTGGCAGCTTGAAAAGTTCTCGATGGCACTGGGGTAAATCTCTCACCCTGCTCTATAATGAATCATCACTTTAGGGAACAGCTGAATGCAATAGGTTATTACATTACTAACCCCCCCAAGCCAAACAATTAGAGAAGAGACTGGCAACAAGTAAACATGTGCCACCAGCAGAGCAGCAAGTAAAAGCAAGCAAAGGATTGGTGACAATACATTAAGAGTACTAACCTCTACTCTGTCATCTGGCCTTTGTTTATTCTGTATCGCAGGTTTTACCATCATCACGGTGTTTGTAGTTTTCTTTGCGACTCCTGTTAATACCTTGGTGGAGCCCTTGGGTGCTGTCACCTGTAGCTCAGTCGGTAGGTAGGACTTTACTACAATGAAAAACAAAGGAAAGTTAAGTTTGTTTGTTACCTCTGATTAAAGTTTCACTTTGTTCTGCAAATGTTCATCAGGGGACTATCTACACTGCCTAATTATAACCGCGAACTTAATTTTACCATCGTAAAAAACTGTTTCAAGCTTCAAATCAGTACAAAGACAAATAGTATTTCCAAAGAATTGCATGGAAACATCCTGAACCTAAATACAATCAAAACATATATCCCAAATAGAGATATTTCATGAAAATGACTTACCATTAACAAAGTTGGGGTCTTCATGCTTCTTGAAATACATAGGGGGTATCCGAGGGTCAGATGGGAAGTCCTTCATCTCAAAACTCGTTGTTTTAGATAAAATTAGACCCATTGCCAAATCACATACTGCCCACAATTTCTGAAAGGATAATATATTTAGGGAAATGAGTAAACACACATGCAAGTTTTAAACAAATAATTACCTAAATTATAATTTTTAATAAATATCGTGGCTACTGAAAAATATTTAGCAGATCCACAACTAAATCACAGTGTATCTGCGATTGGTGGGGTATTTTATAAGGTCCTATCTGTACCAGGGAGTATTTTTGACTAGGCCTGGCTGTTGATTTTATCCTTGGGAGATTAAGACATTGGCTTATTACATTCTTAATATCTTATTAAACCGACACCTTCATCGAGATGGTAAGATTAAGATACAGTATTCAAAGTAACACAGGAAATGAGTATACAAAATGACAAACATCCATTCACATAACATTCCATATTTGGCAACATTATGAAGTACTGGCACCATCACATGCCTGCAAATCAACTGCAGCAGTGTTTCACATAACTCAACGACTATGTGTAAAGTGTTATTTGCGAGTTGTCAAGAGAGACAATCTTAATCATTCACTCTATAGAAATGAAAATATATAAAATATTACAAACCTGATTAGTTATTTCATCTTCTGGCTTTACTGCATCCTTGTGATTCTTCATCTGTTCAATAAGAGCCTTATAAAATCCAAAGCAATACACATCATTTTTCGTCATAAGAGGTTCTAGAATATACCACAGACAAGAGCGTATTCGTGTCAACTGGGTTATGTCGTTAGGATCCTTGAAGTCAGGTTGGTGAGCCAATAGAGGAACAGCGAACACCAGCATGTAGTCTGGCATAATGTGTGGCAGCTGACTAGATGCTTTTTCACCTGTTGAAAATAAAGTACTTAACACAAATATCTCAACAAACTACAGCCAGAGGTAAAGGTAGAATGCACTGATGCTTTGCAGCATTATTACAATTTATACACCTTAGTGCACTTTATTACATTTTCCAAACATAATTACCATAATTATCAATGGCGACTTCTCTCTACAACAGGTATAAACTTACTTCCGCCTGACATGGTGATTGATCTAATATAATCTCTTCTCTTGGTAATATCAGCCAACATATACTGCTTGACTGCTACTTTCAACTGCCGGTCAGTTTCCAGACCAGCCAAGGCATAGAACCCCATGAAATCAAGAGGCAGGCACTTGTGTGGGATCCCTCGAGCCAGACCCTTGTGAAGCTTAATGGCAAACCTTTCACGAACTTGTGGGCAATCATCCTGAAAAGTTTAATTAGGTATTAAGTTATTAAAAGATAAGAGGTCTGGGTGTGTACTGGCAGTTGTAAATATGAGATGTGAGCTAGGAAAGTGGAGGGGAAAAAAACAAGCATTAAATATAATGACACCCTTTCCTGATGGGGCCCCTCAGTAGCCAAGTCTTAGGAAGTTGCATCAGATCTCCGAGACTCAGCCTTGCCTAACAGGAGCCAGGACCGAATATGGCTAACTATGAGACAAGGAGTACTTGAGGATTAGAGATTAATCTCTCTCCTCTCTGGTGCCAATGCACAGTGACCAAATTCTGTTTTCCCACTTTCAGCAGCTAGCCCTGTGAATCTGTTAAATTTGATGAAGCTCTTTTATTAAATCATTATCATCAATAGTCTACTCTCAACCTTGTATTTCTCTGTATCATAATAGTGTGAAAACAATAATATCCCTATTGGGCCTTCCTAATTAATAGTCTATGATCATTATGTCAGAATAAAACATGGCAATGGCTAGAAAGAGTATCAAGCCTTTCAATGTTCATAGTAAGGGATCCCATTTATTCCTTCAGTTTTAACATGCAATATTAATCACCCCAACTTATTTTTATACAAAAACTGTCAAGGCAAATCTACATTTTAATCTATATTTCTTACATTCATAAGAAGGGACAAGTTGTAAAACTGCTCTGAGGTAAACTGGTCGCCAACACCCTTCTGCTCACAGATCTTCAGCATGGCAGCCCCTGCAGACAGTCTCAGGTGAGCCATTTCTGCTCTCCTGTAATGGCAACAAATAAAAAATTTCACAATTGGAACCACCCATAGTAATAACAAAATCCTAAGTCAAAGACAATGGAGAAGAATGCAAGTGGGAAGATTGAAAGAATGTGAGTGGGGAGTGAAGGAGAGAAGAATGAGTCGAGAGATATTGAGTAGGGAAGGGAACAAATGTGAGTGGGGAGGGGGAAGAATATACGTGTGGCAATGGAAAGAGGAAGAAAAGAGTGGGATGCAGGAAACTTTTTAAAGGCTAAGAAGACGATGATGAAGAGCTTAAGGATTTTAAATAGGATGAATTTGCTCGATGATCAAAGAACAGTTAACTGTACCTTGGTCAACCACACTCAAATCTTCAATCCAAAAATACAGGATTCATGTCTGAGCAGGTATATGGCAACTGCTGTGAACAATGGTCAGAGAACAAGTGCACAGTCCGCTAAACAAAGGATACTTGATGATTAAAAAAACAAAAATCACTTAAAAGTGTCATCAAAATTAACCAAGCCTCTTGCACAAGAAACATTAAGTTTTGAATGGGAACAGAGAAAATCTAGTTTCAAGACAAAAGGCAAAAGTATGTGGAAGGCTGTGTTTACCTAGAGATATGGGTTGTACTACCCATCTCTGCCTGCCTTTTTAAGTTGCTGAGGGTCCGGCCTGCTTGCAAGCATCTTCTGAGAACTTCAGATTCCTTCAACCACCACTTTGCAGAAATAGTGAATACACCTAGTTTTGTTTGTTTGTTACATGCTGGGTCTACACTCATCCTTTAAGGAGCAGAAGATTATGATAGCTCAGAAAGCAGGCTTCAAGAATTATGAAACACCAATGCCATTTCTGCTGATGCTTAGTCAGTTCTAAGTGTAAGGAGCTGTAGGTGTGTGGACTTGGTGTAGGTGTTGCTGCTACCTGATAGTAGTAGCAGCAACTACATATCTTACTGAATATGCAGAAGCTGTGATATGTGAGCTGGATGGGGAGTCAAGAACAAAGTGAGGTTCTTGAGCTTCCCCTACAACGGTAAAGTGTAGTGATTGAGTTCCCCTTAGCTTTGGCCAAGTAATAAATAGTTATTATGCAGCGTCGGACCAACCAAGCTGTGGAGGATATGTAGGCCTGCGGGCCCCTCCAAGCAACAGCCTGTTGGACTAAACTCTCAAGTCAAGCATGGCTCCAGGCCGAGCTTAGGGAGTATAAGAACTCCCAGAAACCCATCCAGGTACAATCCAGGTACAATTAACAGAACTATGATTGGTTATGCTTGTGGTCCATACTATCAGCTGGAAGTGTTTTTTATGTCACAGTCAAGACTGAGCTGGCACTCCTGGACTATATGGCAAGACAATTTGTACAGCACAAGAAATCACAATAACAATGTACCCAAGAGAAAATATTTTCACAATTTGCAAAGTTAATGTGAAAGGGCTCAAAATTGCAAGCCTGGTGGATAAGCAATGCCTTGGGTGGAATCAGGCTATTGAAATCAAAAGCAACTGAGGTAATCCTGCTGAGAAATACAACAACAACAACTACCAAATGGTCTAATTAAAAGTACTTACAGCATTTTACCAGTTTCTAGCAGGTCACCCTTGTGAAGGATAAAGGCATTAAGCATACGGAAAGTCTTTTGTGCCGAGATCACATCAGACTTGAGCCCTAGTAGCCACCGTGCCATCATTTTGATTCCCTCCATTTTAACAGCCGTTTCTTCAGTTAGTTCCTCTTCTTCAACCCACTCCTCAACATCGTCTCTAGTCGCTGGCCCAGGTGTGTGTACACTTGTTTGGTTTCTCATTAGCAACTCCTTAACAACCTGAAAATATATTTAATGGCCCTTACATTTAAATATAGTAACAATGAAGCAAAATATTGTGACTCCAAAATTACTCAAGATGAATTCATGCAAGCAAATGCCAAGAGTCCGAATCTCAAAACAAAAAAGGGGACTCTTAAGCAGGGTAACAATTTTGAACCTATAGTATAGTTTTTTGGCAGCTCAAGAAAAGTGATGTCTCAAGATTTATCAACTTAATCAGTTATATAAATACTGCATACAATTTAGAAAGAATAAATTTATAACTAGATATATTTTGATTGTAGATCAAAATGTATCCACAAGGTGCCATATCATTTAGGATCAGGACATAAACAAATCAAATGTTGATTGCAACAAATAACCATTTACACTGCATTTCTTCTCATTCCTTTTCACCTACTCTTTGGGCTTATAATAGCTGCCCTCACTTTATGTCTCGGTTACAACTTGATAATGGTCCAGGAGAGGCTAAAATACCATTACTTTCCTTTTCTTTCCTTTCATGTGTGTCTACTGAGTGTTGATTTTGTGTTGAATGTAATGAAACTCCCTTTTCTGGAAGTGTCAATAAGCGACACATTGGTAACCTGTCATCCTTCAGCCACACATCCTTTGTCTGTGATCCAGACAAACATCCTATATATGTAAACATATAGGATGACAAATATAACACACAAGAAGAAAATTGTTTCTAACAAAGTTTCCAAAATCAAGTCATACTAACCTTTCTCGATACAACGTTTTTGATTGGCACGAGAAATTTATCAGGCATGTTGAAGGCTATGTGTCCCAAGGATACAACTGATGTTCTGAAGTGTGTACTATCAAAAGTCAGCTGTTCTTTGATTTTCTGTCAAAGAAAAAATACATTATACAAATTAAAAAAATAATTTAGATATTTTATACAGCACTAATGATACGTATAGTAAATATTAATGCTAAATTTGTAATTTGTAACCTTAAACCAATAACACATTGATCCCCAGTACACCCCATACAAGAGTCAAAATGTTTATATAATCTTACAAAATCAACTAATGCAAGTAGGAGTAGTATGACTATTTAAACAACCACTTCTTTTACAAACCTCTAATATTCTTTCAAAAACTTCATCTGATTCCGAGGTACAGTTCGTGTGAAGGCAACGTACTGCATGCTTAGCCTGTTTTGCAGTGCCCGATTCTGCAAAACGCTGGCAAATTGGGATGAGTACTGATGCGAGATCCGGGTACAGTTCCCCTGGAAGCAAAATTGACACTTAATCATGGTGGAAAATTCATCAACACATTGCTATCAAGATCATTATTAATATGAAAATCAAATACTGAAGTACATAATGAAGAGGCACTTGCAACTATCAAAGTTAAGTAATTTGCAATAAAAAATATACTTTCTTTTAAACTAGAGATTTAATTTTTTGTCTAGCTATTGGTATTACATATATAAAATTATATCTTTTGAGTAATGTGACCTTATCTACACCATTATTCTTTTGAATTACCCATATTCACATATTCCTCAGCTATACAGGTAAACCCTTAACTAATAGAGGAAGAATTACTTAAATCTCATAACATAGGCATTCTTTTTCCACTTGTATACAGTTTAATGAGCTGTCATAGGTATCAAAATAGAAATATGTCTCTCTTTCCTATGAAAGAATAATCATCTCTCTCTCCTACCTTATAAACCGACATTCTCTTCACAAACTTTTTATTACACTTGTTAATGGTCCAGGATGGATTGAAACATTGTAAATGCTTCATTTTCAGACATGTGCATACATTTGTTGCATGTACTCCTCACACTTGTCAATAACCGGTGTAACCTCAATTTTTTTATACGACAAATATTTTCCTTATAAATAACCTTGCCTAGCTTATCCTATGAGCTAGTGTTTAGATTTGATTTTACTTTTTCTTTAGCTTTTCTGAATTCTTTATTTTCCACTTCGAGGACTCTTCCTTTATCTTACCAGAACTTATTTTCCTTCAATAATTTATTTACTTCACCTTAATGTTCAGCTAATTTGTTGCTTAGACTAGCTGCATCCTGGCTCAAAGGCTGCTCGTCTACTTCTGCACCTTACTACTCAAATTAGCAATTATTTCTTCATGAAATTTTACAATGTCTTCTACCTTCACCAACCTGTTCTGAAAACTAATCATTTTAATATTTTTGTCATCAAAATCAAACTCTCCTGTGTTGTCTTCTCCCACGGCAGTGGCCATCTTTATTGTTGCCATCTGCCTTGTTTTGAATTAGAATTTGATTCACATTCTAGTCTAAAAAAAAAGTTATTTCTTTATTTTCGTACGTCTCTTACAAAAACATACATGCTTCTTTATAGTACCGTACTTACCAATAGGTTTATATTTGCCTATGTAGGTGAGAACAGAGAGGACTGGTGGGGAGATGGTGGAGTTTGGCACATTAAGGAGAGAGATGAGACGTGTCAGGATGTCTACGTGCAGAAAGTGAGCAGGATATACGAACGACAACACCTGTGGGTGCATCACAAGACAAATTATATTTAATTTACCAAGATGCTATATTTATGCTTGCAGTATAGGCATAAGTCTTCAGTTATTATAACCTTTACATTACCTGTGGGATAATCACAATGATTCTTACATTATGGTAGACATGCAAAGATGGATATTACTATAAATGAAGTGTTACAATTAAATGTTATCTTTCTTAATGTGATTCAGCAGCTGGGAAGCCGACTAACAAAGGTTAATGACAAATTCTACCCATTCTTCGCAGACTTCACAATACCTAAACCAATGGTTACCACACAAGTATCTGCGTGTGCAAATTTGGGCATTACTCGTGGTAAAAGTTGGCCACATCAAATCCTGGATATTTCCCACAGAAGATTATTATTGATAACAATTATCAATCATAATAGAAGACGACTGGTGAAACACAATTCATTCCATCAAATATTAATTAATATCTCAATACAATAATTCACAAGTTTTCCTGGCACACACACACACAAACTAACACATTAATGACCAGTTTTCTAAATAACATGAACATCTCGTAGTGATCAAGCTTTCCTTACTCTAGCTACATTCTAACAACACACTAATAATATTTTCTCTTAATTTGTTTTCAAACTACTGTATAGTATATAAATGATTATTTCTTTTGATATGACCATAGCCCTCTTATCAAAGAACAAACTTGATATAGCTTCCACTTCAAGCCTCACATTTATAACAAATTCATTACTGAATGTGAAGAAGAAAAATCCCTAGCTGTAAATATATAGTTAATAATACATTACAAGGGGGGCAAAAATTACTGAAAATAAATATTAAATAAGAGCCTTCATTTATCTTCCTAGATTACTAAATCATAGATTTATAAAACCAAGACATAACTTACAAATAATAACTTTAATCCTTTTTCTGTGGCAATATCGGAAGTTAGATTAAGCGTGTCGAGTACAGTCGGGTCAGCGTTTAGTGCCCCCTCCACCAATCCTATAAGGGCCTCCAGTGCCGTTTGGTCCACCATTACGCTAGAAACACGCTCCAGCAACATCTTAATGGTGTTATAATACAGGTTGGTCATCACTGGTTGGCCTAGTTTTTTAAGGATCTGTGTCTGTGGTGCAAGAAAAAAAACATTTAGCGTGCGATCTAGCATAAAATAATATTATATGATGGCAAGTAGTCAGTTATGTTATTATTACACTAAGTTCCGGAAAGCTACTGAAGGAGTCCAAGTCCAGAAATGATAAGAATACGTATTGTACTTTACTCAAAATGGCAGCAGTACTGTTAAGAAACACTCACCACAGCATCTACACTGTCTTTGCACGACACGTCATGACTGACAACTGTTTCCATAAGAGACAGAAGTTGTGAATCTGTATTAAGGTGCTGAGAAAACTTTCTAAGGAATTCCTGAACTTTAAGAGGGTCAGGAAGAAATTTGGTGAGGTGGCCCAGTCGGTAAGCAATCTCACGGTCTCGCTCCTCGTCTTGAGACTTCCGATGAAGTTCAATAAGCTCGGCAACATTTTTTCTCACAGCTAGCTGGTGTTTCTGAAGTTCAATGAAAGCTTTGGTAGCATTGTCATCAATGGAGGCATACAGGTAAAAGAGCTTCTTCATGCGGTCCTCAGGCGGCAGCTGATACGGCACCAAACACGTGTTTAAGAGACGTTCCACAAGTAATCTGCAAGAAAGCAAGTCAATCATTATTATGCAAGTGTTAGTTCCTCAATTATGTTAAGTATGATCTTTCCTGCAACAGTACTCTCTCTCTCTTATAAATATTAAAACAAAGATAAAATCAAGGAAAGTGGGGATTGGAGTGAAGGGGATAGATAATGATAGGAAGTGATAAAGCCAATAGGAATGTATAATCAAATACATGGGTCTGTAATTGTTATTCTATGTGGTAAAATTACCACCACAAAGTAACCTTAAGAGCACATATTGTGGCATAATTTTGATTCTACATATTCACCTAGTAATATCCCAGGGGAGTGAAAATATTTCTTTTACACTTCTTCCTAGTTATTGGTGCCAAGTGCATTTTTCTTTCTCACAGTCCTAGTGCCTCAACATATTTGCTCTTCAAACTGTGGATGGAGATGGCTTTTGCCACTTCTGCTCCCAATACATTTCCACTTCCCTATCGCCTGCCCTGAATTTAAGTACTAAACTTTCTCATCTCTCCCTTATTTGCGTGTCTATCTTCCACCTTTGTTTCCCCTATTTTACTTTCTTTCATTTGGAAAAAAAAAAGAATGGTCCTGTCCACTTCATCTCTTCCCCACACTATTTACTTAATGAAAGCTAAAGAAATACATAATAAAGTAAGGAGGTGGATATTATATATTTCCTCCTGGAAGCCAAAACAAGGAAGTTTAACACTGATAGTGTGTGGCAATATTACAAAGCTATAAGATGAGTGTGGCAATATTACAAAGCTATAAGATGAGTGTGGCAATATTACAAAGCTATAAGATGAGTGTGGCAATATTACAAAGCTATAAGACGAGTGTGGCAATATTACAAAGCTATAAGATGAGTGTGGCAATATTACAAAGCTATAAGATGAGTGTGGCAATATTACAAAGCTATAAGATGAGTGTGGCAATATTACAAAGCTATAAGATGAGTGTGGCAATATTACAAAGCTATAAGATGAGTGTGGCAATATTACAAAGCTATAAGATGAGTGTGGCAATATTACAAAGCTATAAGATGAGTGTGGCAATATTACAAAGCTATAAGATGAGTGTGGCAATATTACAAAGCTATAAGATGAGTGTGGCAATATTACAAAGCTATAAGATGAGTGTGGCAATATTACAAAGCTATAAGATGAGTGTGGCAATATTACAAAGCTATAAGATGAGTGTGGCAATATTACAAAGCTATAAGATGAGTGTGGCAATATTACAAAGCTATAAGATGAGTGTGGCAATATTACAAAGCTATAAGATGAGTGTGGCGATATTACAAAGCTACAAAACACACCCATGTTCAGAACAACTTAAAATATTAGCATGATATTGACAAATAGCTCATTTAGAGTACAAATTGTATTACTAGTCACAAACAGTAAACTAGTGGCAGGTGAGCCTGCACAGACGTCCTCACCTGTCATCCATGCTGGTCATGTAGTAGCCGTGTAGAATCTTATCCTTGATCCACGTTACAGCATGGCGCGTGGCAGGTGGTACATCTGGGCTATTGAGGTGTTTTTTGTAAATCATGGCTAAACCACACATGGCTTCTTTACGAATTTTGAACTGTAAATAAAAAATAAGAGCCATTGTTAAAAGCAATCAAATTGTTACTTAGCCAAAGATACTTCTTATATGTTATTGTTCATCTAGAGTGCTTACCATTTCATTACACCAATAATATAATTTGATGAATTATCATTAAACAATGAATATTCAAAATCAAGTGTTGAATGAAATGAAACTCCCTTTTCCGAGGAAAAGCGAGTTTTCCAAAGTGAAGAAGCTACTGAAGGGCCCTTGGTAGCTTCCCAGAGCTTTACACAAGGGTGTAGTCAAGCCCGTGTGTAAAAGAAACACAAGCAACACAGAGACGAATTAGTTTGTTCAATGGAATGAAATGCCTCTTTCAGGTGGACCATGCAGTGGCTCCCTATACCTACAACCCGTTCTCGCACTTTCGTACAGTCAATATTGACTTATTAAATAAGTGCATATGTGACACACTAAGTCAATATTGACTGTACGAAAGTGTGAGAACGGGTTGATACCTGCCCTGTGTCCTACTTTTCTAAGAGTGTCAGGGACATCTTTTCAGGTGGCTTGAGGAGACCCCTGGTAACTTGAGCTGCCATCTGGTAGTAGTCAGAAACATTATGGACCGGTATTTAGCCACCCACAGCAACAACTGTTTTCATTATTTTTGTCAGGGTTACTAATTTCCTTACAAGCTACTGAGTATAATTTTTTTTATGGGTCTCTGTTCAAGCTCACCCGTCACCTCGTAGAGAAAACCAGATTCTGGTCCCGACTCCCAGTAGTCTTGGGTGGGTCTCGGTGGCCTGATGCAATTCCCCAAAGCTTGGCAGACCCAATATTATAGCTTGGGAAGCTAATGCAAGTGAAAGAAAAATAATTGCCTCAAAGCATATACAAAGAGAAAACTGTATTCAAACTGGAAATGCACGCGTGGAGAAAACAGAGCAGGCAACCCAGCAGTACTAGCGCAGCGTACAGAAAAAATGAATCAATAAAAAGAGTTACCCATTACATTACTGAGAAAGAAATGCTTTGAAGGATTACAGACCCCATGCAATCACTAACCATTTGACATCATTTAAGCAAACTGACCTTTTTATCTAAAGTTCTTTCTTTGACAAAATTTAGTAGATCTTCACTATCAGACACTATGCTGAAGTCTTTCTTTGCAGTTGTCACAATAGCCATCACAACTTCATATCTGTTAAGAATAAAAAAAAGACTAGTTTAAGGACATACCTTAAATATAAATACTGTATTAAATACTAAATTAGATTAATAACCTACATTTTATTTTGTAACCAACCAATACTAGCGATATACTTCCTTTTTTTAACTAATTATTCTAAATACAAGCATAATTGCCATTACTTGGACAAGAGTGCAAGTATTAATATATTTGTATTACGTAACATTCTATAATCAATGAATGTTCTAAAAGATCACACAAGACAACTTACCTCACACTCTCTTCTGAGTCATGTTGTCTAAGCTTCAACGTGTCTGTGATGTCTTTACGCAGGAGCGGATGATTTAATAAAAAATGCATAGAGTACTGGACACACTTGGTACGGATTTTTATGCTGATATCATTAAATCTGAAAATATAATATATTTTCTATATACCATATTAATAAAGTTAGGTAATAATAATTATTTGAGTCAATATGAAAAGAGCCTTTCTGAGCAGTTTTTTTTTTTCCAATTGCTTCCTAAGGTAAGCATCTTTCATGCCAATAGATTATATACCGTCAGGAAGGATGTTATTTTGACAGCAGAAACAAAAGTGAATTTGTCAAAAATTTCTGCATCTTCATTAACAATGTAGGAGAAGAACTGGCCACCTGTAGGCTGGATTGATAAACTCAATCAGCCTACAAGTGACCAGCAAAGGAGAGCTCAATAACTGCTCATTTGCTTGCCTGGACAACTTTGTTGACCCCATCTAGATAATAGCACTAGCTAGAGAAGCTAGAAACGAGTATCGGTAGTCTTATACCGGGCAACAAAAAAATAGCATGCTATTCAAGTGATAAAGTTCACCTACCTAGATATGAAACAAAGCTAGAACTTAAACTGAATATAGAACACCAGACACAATCAGATATAAAATGGAAACAAAATGTGAAGCATCTAGGAATAATGATATAGAAAATTTATTCAGTGAGCTTAACAAAGCAAACTTATCATCACCCAGGAACATGAGTACCTGTACCTTTAAATCAAAGAATGCTACCACAATACTTCTACTTTTCAAGTGAACTGTGTTTTCTGGTCTGGAATACTGGCTAGGGATTCACCTCCCCTTTCAAGTCGAGAAATTTCCTTTGCCCCGATGCATTTACCTCGTCCATTGTTACTTTTGCTGCCATTCTGTTTCCACTTTTTTCCCCACATCAGCAAAACCAACATGTAAACATCTTTCATCACTCGCATCTTTCAGCCTCTCATAACATGCCCTCATCCTCCTCCAGTACTCACCTTCCTAGAAAAGCTGTCCACAGCTGTCTGTGATTAAGTGCCAGAGTAGAATCCTTTTCTGAAAACATGCGTGCTAGTAGGGAAACCGACCCATATCGCTCTTCTTCATCAGAACTCTTCAATTTAAACTCCAACTAGAAAACAAAAGTTAGTCCTATGAGTTGTATTCCCATCACTGCATCTTTATTGAACACAAAATAAATATAATTTGGTGAAATAACAAAGCTGTCTCACCAACCCCACATAAGCTATATGGGTAAGATATAGAAACACGAGTGTGGAGCGTAATGCAATGCCCTCCTCCTGGGCAACGCTTCAGTACCTACTCTGTGCTTTTACTCTGGCTATTACTGGTCAGGTTAGACAAGATACCTTAAGGCACACTGGGAGGAGAGGGGTACAAGAAGTGAACATTATAATGAAGGAAAGAATGTTAGGAATTAAAAACAAAAACAGAGAAATAATATGCTATCAGCCCTGATATATATGTAGGTGAAACTTGGGTATGGATAGGAGCCAAGTACTCAATGGTACCAGCAGTGGAAATAGAGCCGAGAGATTAGCTGGAGTATGAGGGATGGGTACAGCAATGATGAAGTACACGAATAGTGAAATGAATGAAGGCAGCGAGAAAATGATACGTGGAGTGGGTGAAGCACAATACACCTAGTGATATGGACATATTAGTAGGATGGCTGAGAATTAGTTAACAAGAAAAGAAAGGTGTACAAGAGTTAAAGTAAGGGAGCATATAATAGATGCAGATCTCCAGTACCTTGGAAGAGAAGAGTAAGAGCAATATGTAAGAGACAATTTGGAGCAATGGGAGTGGGGGTGGGGGGGGTGGGGTGTTAGAGCTTGAAAACACAGGGTTAGTATGGCGACAGAGCCGCCTGGAGAAACTTCTGCTCTAAGTTGCCCCCTTAATGAGGAGCTTTTGGGAGGACAATATGCAATAGACAAAAAAATTAATAATATTTACAACAATTAATATTAGATCAACAAATTCCTTACCTGTGGTAAAACAGATAGTAGGACTGAAGGACAGATGTGATTCAATTCATATATGAGATCGTATACCTTCTGCGATATGGTCAGCGTCTTCTCCTCACGACCCAATATCAACACATTATTGAAGAACTGTTGAAATTGAAATAGTAAAAGTTCTTTAAAATTAAAATCAATTTCTCCATTTCCAATTATCATTGGAAAATAGATAGCACACATCCAATCACAATACATCAAATAGTATCACTTAGAACCAGAACAACAACACATTCAGCAAATCATTTACGGAAGTTCACTAAATCTTTGAAAGATTCCCGAACTGTTGCATAAATGTATAAGCATACACTGTAACCTAGATGTTAATATAATTCACCAATACCTTTTATAAATAATGTGAAATATATAATTACACATGTTTAACAGTATACAGACGCATTTAATAAAAATGCTAGGAAATCAGGCAACCGAGTCTATAGAATTTGAAATTAACATTAGGTCAGAACGAGATTGATTAATTGCTGGAGGGCAGGTATCCAAGTTTATTAAGGAAAATCTACAGTTTTCAAACATGAAATGTATTTTTCACTTACTGCTTGAATATATGGTTCAAGAGTATCAGAGCACTTCACCACCAATTCTTTGGCCAAGTGATATGCATTCTTCCGCTGGGACTTGGCTGGTTCAAGAACATTGGACAGTATGATGTCCAGAAGATCATTTGACACAACATCGCTCTCATTGATGAGTGGACAAAGAACATCCAACATAAATGACTTTACCTTTCCACTGTGTTCGTCACTACGGAAAGAAAATACAGTATTATTAAAATGTCTTAAATAATAACTTCATTTCTAGCATAACAGTGAGTGTAGACAAAATGCTCCTCTCCGAGATGGTTCCTTGCTCACTCTTTGTTAGACATGTTTCACTTCCCCACCAAATCTTGCTACATCCAGGTAGGGTCAACATTATCTTCTCTTCTTGGCCATTAAAGGCATAATAAAAAACATCAGAAGGTATATTCCTCATGCTCAAACAAACTTCATCAATGAAATATTTGAAATCAAAGAAATGTCAAGTACAGTTTTGTACACACAAACCATCAAGCTACCAGATACTCAACTACCCACAGCTGCTACCTGGCACCACATTAAGCATTCACAAGAACGGCCCATTATACAAGAAGAGGCATACTGTTAGGATGTATCTGCTAACTGATTTCCTAGATGCAGAGCCAAAGAAAGTCAGAAAAGAAAGTAAGGTGCAATACCTGCATGTGGCTGTTGACAGGTCCAGTGCTGCCACCTGGTGTAATGTAGTGGCACTGGTCAAGTGGGTAACTGCCAGCTTTTAGTTTGTACATGCAAAGCCTTATTATATATTTGGTCCCGTTTCGTGTATTACTTTTATGAGGTTTATGTTGAATACAGAATAATGTACCTTCTGATGGTCATTCAGGACAGAGAATTGCCCGGGGTCTTCCTCGTTTATTGGGAGGGGGACATGTGCACATATCCCAGCTGGCTAAAGTGATGAGAATGTCATTTTGACTCTAGCTGGAGGAGGCAAAGCCCAGTGAGAAATTGGAACATGGCTCAAGCAACCAATGGGGTTTCAGGTCATGCATAAAGCTTAAATAAAGAAATGTGAATAATCTAATGGGATTAAAATGTCAATTTACTGGTCGCATATGATGCATTCTATCAAGTATATTCTTGAAGGTGTTCATGAAATGATGTTTATTTTCCTAGAAATGTCTGAGTAATTATTGGCACCAAATGGTTCTAACTGAAATCCACAGATGGAAATACATCACCCAGCAGCCTATAAAGGCAGCAGCTTGTCATCTCAGTACCACAAGATCCACAATGAGAGGTACATGTCCTTCAGCTTTGCCTTACTGGCCCTGATAAACTATTAATAATAATATAAGTATTCTTTCAATGTCTAATAATAATTTTAACAGACCAAGCAGCTCAGTTTCCTATAGTGTGAATCCAGAGCACATGTTTCCTTAACTGAATAATTTTGTAATGTGTAAGGCTGTGCAGATAGACAAACAATTTAAGCTGATATAAGCAGTGCTTCAAATTCCCATTGTGCATAAGATATTGTAAAAGAATATACATTTTTCTCAATTATATTATTTTTACCAGTTTAAATTTTAAACTTATGTGTACTTACTGTATCAAACTTTTTCTGGGCAGGCCCCTTAGTAGCTCCCCGGTACTTAAGGCTCTTGTACCACAGAGACATACAAACACTACCAGGCCTTTGTACTTGCGTAGTCCTACTTTGTACTTGTGAAGTCCTACCACAGACAAGGATCAGAATCTGGTTCGCTCATCGAGACGAGGGGAGCCTGGGGGATCAGAGATCGACTCAAAACGGAAAAACCTCCAAACAGTGCAAGCAAAGCCAAACAACCAACTAATATTGACAGAAGAAAAATATGAATATAAAATATAATTGGTTGTTGATAAAACAACCTCTGCGTCAATTCAACTAAACGCCAACCGATAACAATTGTGGTCACTTGGGTCTGGCTGGTCTACACACTCGTCTTAGAGTGCCTTGTACATCATTACAATGCACAAACCTCTAAAAAAAACATTTTCTCTTATTTATAAATACTGTAACTGGTGCTGGCATTTTTTGGAAAATTCTATCCCATGGGGGTCCATGCTTATTATCGTTATTTACTCTCAAGTCTGTATTTATGCCACCCACCTCAAGTCCCTGGCTGTGTATTTCACTCCAGCTTAGACAGGGTTCTCTTTCTTACTGTCAGCTCATGTTTCCCTTTCACCACCAGATAAACCCTCTCTGTGGTGTTGAGGCGTTTCTCTTTTCAAGTTGTCACCACACCCAATAGTGCTCGAGACTTAATCCTCAAGACCAGGCCTATTGATGTATAGAGTACGTGTTTAACTGTGTGCTGGTTATATTAAAGTGCAGTTGGCCAGCCTGTCCTCTCGAGTTGCCACAAAGGACAGAAAATTAGGCACTAAAACACCTAAACCTAACCTAACCAAACCAAGCCACCCACACACACAGAAAATGTGAATGTTTGTGGGCCACTATGATTGACATCATATTTTCTCCTTGAGGATTTAAACATCAAAATGCAATGTGTTATTAGAGAAGACAAACTAATAACACATTGCATTTGGTTTGGCACAGGCCCTGAATCATGTGTGTATTGGTGCCTTTGCCCTTTTTCAGGGATAACCTTGGGTAGTGTTACATGATTCTTTCATATATCTGTGGCACTATACAACTTTTTTCATCCCTTAATTAACAGGGTTAGGGTTTTGATGGTTTTACATCACTTCCCTTGCATCCAGCATGTCTGGCTCTTCATTATCAGTCTACGCTGCCAGTGTCCATCTGTTCCAAATAACTGTTTACCTTATTCTCCAACTGTTGCTTAATGATGGATCCTCATACACTGTAGATAAGGATTTGAAGGCTTGTTTCCTATTGGATTTTTTCAGTCTTTCCTTCCCTGGGATTTCCTTGATTTTCTGTCTTTTTTCCCTTCGGGTCTGAGGACTTTGTTCACTGCTACATAGGACGAGCCCCAGAAGAGATCCGCTTCTTTGACCGTTCATGCTTTCTGCCACTGGATCTTTCCCAATTGGTCTCAGGTTGCTGGATGGGCAGTGATGTCCAGCCTTGCTTGGATGGTTAGCCCTTTACACTGAGCTGCTTTCTGTGGAGTTCTTGGTCATTTTTGTGTTTTGCCTCTTCAAAGCACTGGGAAGCTACTGAAGGGCAAACCCAAAAGCATGCACTGAATTTAATGAAACATCCATTTCTGAGCAGCCCTCAGTAACTTCCTGACCCTGTCTTTTGATTCCAACTTTCCTCCTGTTGACTGGATGGCACATAAGTGTGTGTGTGTGTATAGACCAACTGGACCCCTAAGTGACCTAAACTGCCACCTGATGGCGAGTTGCTTGAATTTGCAAAGAGGTTGTCTTTTATTTATTTTACTTTTATTTTCAAGATTAATTGTTTTGCTTTGCCTGTACTTTGTTTTTTGGGGGGGTGGTTGGGGGGGGGGGGGGGCAGGGTGGTAGATTTCTGATCCCCAGGCTCTCCTTCCCTCAATGAGCCAACCAGATTTTGATCCTGGTCTTGGGTAAGCTTGTGCAAGACCAGAAGCCTTGTGGAATGTCTCTGTGGAGTCACCACCTTAAGCACTGGGGGAGCTACTGAGGCCACCCAGAACATGGCGTCTCATTACATTCAACCCTTAAATTGGGGTCAGGTTTTTACAATCCCTCCCACATTTGGTATAGAAAGTCAAAAAGCAGTCTTGAACGTAAGTACTGTATGTCCTCACACTCAAGGTTTAATATGGGCAGTGTTTTACAGGTTGCAACATGTACTATGCAAAAATAGAAAAAATTATTCAAATTAACAAAGCTATAATTAGAGGCTAATACCCCCCTAGTAATTTTAGTAGAGTACTCAATAAAAATATTTACTTGACAATGTTGAACATTAATTTAAAGAGTTTGCAGAATATCTCTTGGCAGTCTTCCAGCTCAAAGCACATGTTGAAGGACTTGACATAGGCAAGATTCTCCAAGAGGTAGAAGTATCGTTTGAAGGCTGGATCTTTGGGATCCTTGAGGCCTGCAAGCTGCTTTATCAGGAACATGAAAAGTGTCTGCAAAACAAAGAAAAAAGTTAATTGTGCATATTTTTTATCAGTGTATTTTACAAATAAAAAGCAGCACTACAGCAATAGCTTAATGATGATTTCAAGTTTTTGACAATACAAATTTTCAACCCTTATCTTTCTAAAACCACGAGTCTCGCAGATGATGTGTGTGTCGATGCATCTCATTTACTATCATGTGCTTCCCTCAACTTACCTGTACTTGCTACACCATTGGCATATGTGCACATAAATTTAATTATTCATTACTACTAGGGGATTGCATCCTTTTGCTGAATGGTGGAAGGAATCGGCGATATCTGGGTTTGGGGTGGAAGGGCAGGAGGGACTCCCACCTTAGAGTAATTCCTTTATGTTATATTGTGGAGGCGATCGGTTGTGTAGTGCAGAGCTGCATGTTGCCATGTAAGATGCTTGATGTACCAGATCTGTTTGTGACCTAGGGGTATCATTCCCTGCAATTGCATTTTGACTTGCATTTCTACTCACTCTCTTTCCCTCTTTTCTCACTTTTGAACATGTATCAGTTCAGGTACATATTTCAATATCTACTTTCATCCCTCAGTTTCCACTTATCAGCCAATATAGGGCCAATGTTCAGAACCTGAGGGGCCCTCAGGTGCTAAATATTGTTTTGAACAGTCATGCCTGTCCAACATGGTACCTTCCTATCCTATCAAATTTCTCAAATCTCCCATGGTGCCTCAAGTTAATCATATCCTTAGGATCACTCTTACCTCCAACCATTCACTCTTTTGCCATACGTTTTATGTTCTTTTCATTGTTTTTGCTAACGAAATACTTGCTTAGCCATCATAATTTCTAACATGACTTATTTAATTGCCAGCCTCTGTCTTTTAAAGCATCATAACATTGGCCACATATACCTTTTGGTTAATACATTATCTCAGTAAGAACTCCACCTACAGACTAGACTGATGTAATTTTATAAACAGAAGTCACTTTAAATATATAAAAATTGTCAAAACATAAATAATACTGTATTTAATGCCACTTAAGAGAACAAATAACTTCTTATGACGCCAATAGATCAGCTATTTTACCCTATCCATAGCTAAAAATCTTACAATTTTAAACAATTATCCAATTGATAGTCAACTTCTTCCATTAACAAGATAATAACAATTTACCTTCACTTGTGCAGGATCCTTGTAAGGTGCTTCAGGGGCATAAACCCTCAAAACATCAGCGATGCAGCAGGCTATCAGCAGCTGCACATCCCGACTCGGATAAGAGAGAAAGAAATCATCTGCTATGTGCATTGCCAGTGGTACATATTCCTGTGAAAATGTAAATATCATGTGATACACATAAAACGAAAAGTGATGTACAGTGATTATCCGATAAATCCATTTGATTGAGTGTAATGTGCAATGATTAAAGAGTTAGTAAACACTTTTGGTTATACAGTATCTGGGTTAAATTCATCAAACAATAAAATCCTGAGATGATTAGCATCATCTCGGGTGTGTGATCAATCATGATCATGTACAATCATCCAAAGTGTATGATTAGTCCACATTATTTCTTGCTTTCATCATTACCTAATTTTGCAAAGGTAGCTCTAAAACCAAATCTGAAATTAACATTAAGTATGAGTGCCTTCTACTTGCTCAAGACATGAAGAGAATATTCTACTCATATCATACACGAGTGCTGTCGGCCACCTCCACAAGCAGAACATTGAGGAAATTATTTATGCCATTTTGCCTACAATGGTCACACTTTAGCTACATTCTAATTCTAGGAGCATTGTGGGGCTTACTACACATGGCCATTCATATTGCCCACATAATGTAAGCTCTATTCCCATCACCAGAAATATATTCATTACTGGTATGGTATCTTAGTTATTTCTTGCTTCTTTCCTACCTTTCAACTTTATATACTTGGTGAATCAATGCTTAGCCTTTACACACATTTTTAAATCTACCTGCAAGCAATGTATGAATACTGTACTTCACATAAGCACTGGTTAAACCAGCTTCCACAATCACTTAGCAATTGTTTCAACTGTCCTTTGAGTACACTATAGAACATCCTCCGAGAACTGGATTTACCCCATGGGAAAAACATCAGCAAAGAGTTAGGAAGTAAATACATAATAAAGTAGCTAATGTAATAAATGTAACAAAATCCATGTGATTTGACTATATTCATAGTTGCAAAAGATGTCTCAACCAGACAACAAAGTTACTAAGATTTCTATGACCACATTAAAGTAATTCACTATTTTCTCAGTTCCCACTTTTATGGAAAGGTAATTTCAGTTTGAAGAAACTAATCTATGAGCTTACCTCACCTAGTTCATGAGAGTGACATCTCCCTTCTATACTTGAGACAAACAAGATCACTTCACTGAACTATAAAATGCAGTTCGACTAGAAAAAGCACCTCATTATTATTGGCCTCAGTGATACCTCCAGATCCTGTTCTCATAGACAAATAACTGTTCCTGGGAATGGGTTCAAAAGTCTGTCTGGCTCCTCGAATTCTGTTGACTTTGACTGCAAAGTTTCTTTGTTTACCAGGTTCACATCTTGTCTTTCTCTTAGACACAATGACGATACTACAGCTCTTGTTCCATGGCCAGCATATTTAGGTAGTTCCAGCCAACATCCAAACTGGCCCCAGGCCGGGTTCAGGGAGAAGCCCCTGAAACCATCTCCAGGTATGTAACAATGATTTGCCTTACACACAGAAATTACAATAGCATGATGCATCACATGAACAAATCTACAAGGGATTGAATTGCGTAAAACCCTGGTTTGTGTCTCGGAGAGACTGCAGGAACCATTGGTAAATTAGGATGATTTCCCGGTTGCAATTCTTTTAACCATGTCGTACCTCAGTCGATTAAGGCAGCGTCTGGGATCTTCTCGGACGTAGCTTCGAACCCTCATCACAGCCCTTGTGGATTTGTTCATGATTTGCCTTGTTTACCTAGGATTCCTAATTTTCTTCAAGCAGTCACTTGTTTTATTACATTAATGTTTTTCTGGAGAATAACCAGAATGTCTGGCATTCTGGTTATTCTCAGTTTTGGTTTGACCTCTGATCTCCCAGGGATCAGATGATCTCAATTCTCTACCTCGTAAAGCGAGCCAGATTATGGTTCTGGATTTTAGCACACAACAGATAGGTCTCAGACACATGGTATGTTGGGCTATGGCTTTATGATACCAGCTCTAAGCTCGGGAAGCTATTGAGGGGACCCTCCCAAATACATAATTAAGTTTACAAACCAAGTGGGTCTTATGAGATTAAACAATTTGCACTTTGACTAACCTGATAGGCACCGTCATCTTGACCCATGGACTGCAATGTATGCGCCAAAGTTTTAAGCCGGCGGATAAGCTCATCAGGACCAACATCTTCTGTTACCTCTCTACAACCAGGAGGGTACAATATTGTCAAGTTGTCACCGCGCCCCATTTTCACCCCCCTGTAAATAAAATATTTGTCAAGTGGATACAGTGCACACACACATTTCCTCTGACAATATATATACAGTATTAAGAAGCCAACAAGAGAAAGAGTAGGGTACCTCTTTCTCACGAGTTGTAACATAGGCACAACACAGATTCAAGGAGGGGAAATCATGCTAAACAACCTTGATTAAATTTTATAATAGGGGTCACCAAAATAAAGCAAGACAATGAACGACAGGTAGGCAGTCTTCCTAGACTGCCAGACATCATCTGACACAGTCCCATACACAAGTAATACATAAGATGGAGATACAACTGGGAATAATTGGAAAGACACTGAACTGATGGACAGAAAACAGTCATACATAGTCAGAGAGGATATGTTGGGCTGGAGAGAAGAGGAAAGTGGGATGCCCCAGGGCTCTGTAGTAGATACATTGATCTCTAATTTATGCAAATGATCCAACAAAGTGGGCGAGATCGTACTTGTCAATGTCTGCAGGCGGTGCAAAATTGGTAAAAAGATTAAGTACTGGGGAGGACTGGACAGTGCTGCAAGACCTTGACAAACTTTAGAAGTGGACTGATAATGGTTATAAGAATTCAACCCAAATAATCATAAAGTAATTGATATGGAAAAATGAGATTGAAAACATTTAGGTAACTACACAATATAAGAAAAGCAACAAGAAACAGAGAAAAAGACCCAGAAGTGGATATAATTTCAACACTAACACCAGAAGCTCATGTGAATAAGATATATTCTATAGCACAAGGAAAGTTTGCAAACAAATGAACCGAGTTTAAGAATCTACCATTGAAATTTAAGTCCATATACACCTACTACTGGGAGCTGGTCGGCCGAGCGGACAGCACGCTGGACTTGTGATCCTGTGGTCCTGGGTTCGATCCCAGGCGCCGGCAAGAAACAATGGGCAGAGTTTCTTTCACCCTATGTCCCTGTTACCTAGCAGTAAAATAGGTACCTGGGTGTTAGTCAGCTGTCACGGGCTGCTTCCTGGGGGTGGAGGCCTGGTCGAGGACCGGGCCGCGGGGACACTAACCCAAAATCATCTCAAGATAACCTCAAGATACTATGCGAGACATTACTGGAGTATGCAGCACCATCATGGAACCCACCCTTTTGAAAGCAAATATCAAAACTTCAGAATGTATCTAGATTACTACATAACAGAATTGAGAGCTCAGCTATAAGGATAGGCTCTGCCTTACAACCTTTATTACCTTAGAAGAGATAATAAATAAGACAAGATATGATCACTATATACAAGATGCTAAAGGGGGAAAAAAAAAAAAAAGACAAAATGGACAAAGGACTACAGTACTTTAATTGAAAGAGGGGGGACATTAGTAGATACTAGATACACAATTGAGCCATAAAGATGTAAGGAAATTCTTATACCCTCTTTGGGTGGTCAACACTTAGAAAGGTTTTGAACAGTGAAGGAAAGTTTTGAAGCCACTGTCATCCACAACAATATATAATATAGTAGAAACCTAAAAGATAAGAGAGGTAATTAGTTTACCAGGTATTAATGGCTAGAAAGTGCATAAAAAAGCTATATCTCACTCATAATTATGAAAGGATAAAAATCTCTTGCCCTATTTTCTCTCAACTTAAAAAGGCTAGCTTTGTCCCTATTGTCTATTTTATCAGTGTAATGTACATAGCGAACATATCCCATCAGTTCCTTTTTTCCTGTAGGGTTATGAGGCAAAGTTCCTTTAATCTGTGTTTATAACTCAGTACTCGAGATTCTAGCAGTACTAGTCTTGTTCCAATCTTGTTTACATTTCATTGTTTTGCTTTTAGCTTTGTGTCATGTGCAAACATTGCCAAATACAAGCACACTCCCATGGCTGTAAACATGGAAACTTACATTGGCTATAAGTTCCATTTTAGTTTATTTTACTTAAGGTTACCATACAATAACAAATTATTATGGTGAACTACAAGTTCTGACAGGAGAACTTTGCCACACAACTTGCAGCCAATGTGAAAACTTGTGAGACTATGCAATAAATGGGGAGAATCTTCTAAAAATAAAATAAAAATGTCTAAATTTATATAAACAACAAACTTTTAAGTACAGTACAGATATGTATCAACAAATTTAATTGTAGAGAATATTAAAGTTTGAAAGTAATAAGATATGGCAATGTTAACAAACATTTTGATATAGAATTTAAAATAAGATAAGATTGGGATACAGTAATAAGATTGGAAGATAATGTAGTGAGAATAAAGATGAGATATAGCAAGAATAAGATTGGGATGTGTTAATAAAGCATCAATATAGGAAGTACAGTATATGATTGGGATATAATAATAATAATATTGTGAGAAAATTATATTTCAATAAAATTGGTACAAGAAAGAATAACTGGGATATAGTAATAACAATGGAGTATGCAACATTCAGTTATATATCATAATAAGAATGCAATAGGGTTAGAAAAATATTGGGATATAGTAAGAAAAATAAGCAATAAGAATACTGGGATATGGAATGAACATAAGGGTTTGTGACAATATCTTGGGACACAGCAACAATCCCGGGATAAGGTAGGAATAAGCTTGTAATGGGGGTAGTGGAGAGAAAGAGGGAGAGAGAGAGAGATATGGTTAGAGATATAACGGGAGGTAACGGGAATGACTCCCTCTCTTCCTCCTGACGCACAACGCCCTGACCCTCACCAGCGCCACACATATTATAGCACCTCGCAGCCCTCGGGTACTTCAACAGCATGTCTGCCCCCGGCACAACGCCTATCCCAGCTACCAAATGGGGGGGAGCGAGGCGAGAGACTCGAGGGAGTGTGCGAGATCACAGCTCCATAACTGCGCTGCTCCACATTTTAGCCAGTGTGGTGGCTGGCCCTCGCCGCCCGGGTCACCACTAATGCACTGCCAGGCTTGCATCTCCTCCACGCGTATATCGCCCTCCAGAGGGTTTAAACGGCGAGCGAGGCGTGCGAGCGGCGGTATGGGGTCGCTGTGTCATCAGAGGCTGGGATGCGGCTGGCCAGTTGGGATAGTTTTCTGCAAGAGATGGCTCTGATCACAAATGTCACAAATTCAAGTTTCTCCGAGGTTCCTCACCTATTTACGGCTAGGCTGGAGTGTAAAGCTGAAGTATTCCTTCCAGTGTTCGTGTGGGTGATGGTTCACATATCAAAATTATATCCCTTCTAATAAAAATCGCTGTAAATAAGAGTAGCGAAGGTAATATGGCGGGAAAACGTGCAGGACACCGCTCCTTTCTTCGTTAGTTCGCTAAAGGTTCAAGAGATGGCGTTACTGAGCCTTATCTCTGTTTGGCTGACTTTATATTTTGACTTATCGTTCCCTAACATTATTTCACGTTCTCGTATAAAGAGGAATATTGGGATTTATTTAACGGTTAATATGGTACAATCTTGTCAACTTTTGTCGATTAGTTCATTCACATTGTAGAAAACATTTTCAGCGTTACATTTAGAACTCGCAAAATGAAGAATGTAAACAGAAAATTAGTTCCCAAAGTCTCCAACAGATGGCGGACCAATAATCCCGCCAACATTTAAACGTGAAATTGTAAAATGCCTTATAATTCATTATTCAATTTAGTGACCAATTTAAACAAAATAGAACACAAATAATATACCTCAATATGTATTTTGATGACTATTAACATGCTCTTAATCACCAATTATGTCTAAAACCTGTCGTAATAACATATTTACATCTCTCACAACAAAAAGACCTACTGTCCGTAAATATTGTAACTGGTTGCACGAGGTTCGCAGAGCGTTTATATTTATGTCCAATGTTTATATTTATGTTTAACGTTTATATTTATGTTCAATGAACTGGATGTTGTTAACTTTGCCACCTCTTTTGAAAAATGGAAGATCTAGGAGTGCAAACAGCTGCTGCTCGTCGCCCGCCTCTGGGGGTCAAGGTCATTAAAATCCAGTTCATAATTTATACCGCTTAATCGTATGGATACCGTCGACCGATAAATTCATATTTTAAGTCAATTTATAATTTGGAATCACTATAATATTATAATGACTCTTCCCCTTGGGCTGGACGGTAGAGCAACGGTCTCGCTTCATGCAGGTCGGCGTTCAATCCCCGACCTTCCAAGTGGTTGGGCAGCATTCCTTTCCCCTGTCCCATCCCAAATCCTTATCCTGACCCCTTCCCAGCGCTATATAGTCGTAATGGCTTGGTGCTTTGTTAATTCTGATAATTCCTTCCTTCCTATAATGGTATGATGATAATTATCATACACCTACACACAGACTGTGTTGTAAAATATTGTATATCATTTTTACAATATTTTAATTATTATTATTATTATTATTATTATTATTATTATTATTATTATTGCAAAAAGCTACATTTGTTATATTACATTGTATACATTCATGGTGAATATATGAGTGTATACATTATGGTAAATGTATGAGTGTATACATTCATGGTGAATGTATGAATGTATACATTCATAATGAATGTATATATATTCATAATGAATTTATATATGCATAATGAATTTATATATTCATAATGAATGTATACATTCATGCTTTTTATAATGCAGTGTTTTGTATAAGGCTGATGATTTTTTTCAAGCTGGATTTTAAAACTCAACAGAGTTTTGGATAAACGCTCAGGATATATCGCTGATCTTCAACACCATCGACTGTCACTAGCATATGATGTAACTCTTTCATAAGACGTTACAGTCTGGCTACAAAGCAGACAACAATTCCGGCCATACTCGAGCTTATACCCGCTCTCAACCCGCATTCGACCTCTCCTATCCCGCTCGTATTCCAGCTCTATGCACACAGAAATCACAATAACGTGATGCATCAAATGAACAAATCCACAAGGGCCGTGACGAGGATTCGAACCTGCGTCCAAGAGGTTCGTCCAGGTTCGAATCCTCGTCACGGCCCTTGTGGATTTGTCCAGCTCTATGCTCTCGCTCTCCTTCAAGCTCTCTATCCCCCGGCCTGGCCTCGCACAAGCATCCTCGTCTCAACTATCACGACACGTCATTTCATTTCCACCATCAGACTGCTGTAACCAAGCCAGTGTTAAATAAACATAAAAAGCACACAATAGTCTTTGAATGATGTCACCCATAATCGTATACCTTTCAAGACAAATTAGTTATGAAGATAGGCTAATTAAGGAAACTAAAACAACCCAGTAGGAAAGAAGAAATAGAGGGATCATACAAAAATTAATATTTTTGTATGATCACGACATACAAAATATTAATGGGAATCCAAACATATGCAGTCTGCCCCCAAACCTCCTCTTTCTTGTCTGATTTTTGTCGTTTGTCATTGATTTTTATTAAACCTGTGAGGCAACATTAACCATCCCTGAATTCGTGATGATAGTGTTACAAAGTTCCTTCTCTTCAGAGGTTCTATAGTTTTTCTCACAGTCTTCTCCATCACCTTGTATGGTATGCAAGGACACTGGTCTGTAGTTCACTACCTCCTGTCTGTCTTCCATCTTGTATATATAGATTACATTATAGACGTCTTCCAACGGTTTGGTAGTTTTCCCATTATCAGTGACAGATTTTACACCACTGAGAGTGGCAAGCATAGTGCTTCTGCTCCTCTCTTCAAATATATATATCCAAAGTATTTAATATTCTGTCTGATCTAACAGCTTTAGTCATGTCCAATTTCAGCAAATGCTTCCCTTACCTCCCCCCAAGTGATCTTTGGTTTAATGCACTGTTTCTTAGTTCAGGAAATTTTCCTTGATCTATTGTCAAGACTTCCTGGAATCTCCTGTTGAGTTCCTCACACGCATCCTTGTCATTCTTAATGATCCTGTCTTCCCCTTTTTTCAGTTCTATTACCTGCTCCTTCACTGTTGTTTTTCTCCGGATGTAGCTGTGAAGCAGTTTGGGTTGGGTCTTTGCTTTATTTACTGTGTTGTTTGTATACTATCTTTCTGCTTCTCTCCTTATACTGAGGTACTTATTCTTGGCCCTCTGGTATCTTCCTCTGTTCTTTGGTATTCTGTTATTCCTGTAGTTTCTCCATGCCATATACTTAGTTCCTTTGTCTCCTTACATCTTGATTAAACCACGTGTTCCTCCCTTGCATTTAATTTTTTGCCTTTTGGACCGGGACAAAATTGTCTACTACTTTCTGACACTTCTGGGTGATGCAGTCCACCATACAGCCATTTCTCTGCATTCTGTTACTCATGATATTTCCGTTAAGAAGTTTTTCATGACCTCATAATTTTCCCTTTTCGTATGCCAGTTTTTTTTTTATCTCTTTCTTGAGTAAGCTCTGTACCACATGCGACTCTTTGTTCTCTCAGTCAAAGAGAACTCGCCTGCCTCGAAAGTACACGCCTGTACACCCGTGTACAGGCGTGTACTTTCCATGGCTGTTGCAGTCCCCGTGGCGTAGTGGAAAGACACTCGTCTGGCGTTTCGCGAGCACTTTGGCCTGGGTTCGTATCCTGGCCGGGGCTGATTTACTGATTAATCCTTAACTGTAGCCTCAGTTTACCCAACAGTAAAATGGGTGCCTGGTTCTTAAATGATTTGACGGGTCGTATTCCCGGGAAAATTAAGATTAAGGAATTGCCTGAAGCTTTCTGCGTGCTGGTGGCTGTACACGAATGTAAGAACTCTTGCATACATAAAAATAAAAAAAAAAAAGGTTTAAGTATCCCAGGTTATTAGTCGGAATCCATTCCTACAGGCGACAGAGACTACCCTTTCTATTACAGTAATTATTGGCGTGTACTGGTGGTGGAGGCAGGGGTGTACTGGTGGTAGTAGAGGCAGGCGTGTACTGGCAGCAGTAGAGGCAGGCGTGTACTGGCAGCAGTAGAGGCAGGCGTGTACTGGCAGCAGTAGAGGCAGGGGTGTACTGGCAGCAGTAGAGGCAGGCATATACTGGCAGTTGAGGAAGGCGTGGCAGGCGTGTACTGGCAGTAGGAAGGCGTGTACTGGTGGTAGTAGAGGCAGGCGTACTGGCAGCAGTAGAGGCAGGCGGTAGTAGAGGCAGGCGTGTACTGAGGCAGGCATGTACTGCCAACAGTAGAGGCAGGCGTGTACTGGCGGCAGTAGAGGCAGGCGTGTACTGCCAGCAGTAGAGGTAGGCGTGTACAGGCAGCAGTAGAGGCAGGCGTGTACTGGCGGCAGTAGAGGCCGAGGAGTGGGAGCGAGAGGGTGACTGCTCTAGAGGGCCCCAGAAACATGGCTGCCGAGCGCAGTGTACTGGTGATCCAGAGTGACTGGCATGACACGCTGAGGTGAGTGACGGCTGTCATGCACCCCTCAGGGATGAGTACCAGGGGCCACACACACACCTGCACCCTCAGGGATGAGTGCCAGGGGCCACACACACACCTGCACCCTCAGGGATGAGTGCCAGGGGCCACACACACCTGCACCCTCAGGGATGAGTGCCAGGGGCCACACACACACCTGCACCCTCAGGGTCGAGTACCAGGGGCCACACACACACCTGCACCCTCAGGGTCGAGTACCAGGGGCCCCACACACCTGCACCCAGAGGGACGAGTGCCATAGGCCACACACCTGCACCCGGAGGGACGAGTGCCATAGGCCACACACCTGCACGCTCGTCTTGTATACCACAACTCTTCCTCTACTCTCAACATATCTGGGTAGGAAACTAGGAAAACCTGTTGGCAATTAGTTTCTTTAATGTTTATACTGTGCCGAGATTTGAAGTTTCCTCAAATATCTCCAGTGTGTCTCCAAGACGCCAGAAGAAACACAGGGAAAGTGGACACATGTCTTGCCTGCTCCTGTGGCAGTGTAGGACCCACTGCTGGCTCAAGCCAAAACTCTTTGTTTCATTTATCTGGTAGCTGTTATAAATGACTAGATTTAGAACCCTACATTTCTTAGTCTTGTGCCAGTACATGTAGTATCCAAATCGGTACTAAAAGAAAACGTCAGCGATGTCGAAAAAGAAACACAAGTTTATCATTTAGTTTTGTTAGTATACGTTAGGTAAGGATAGACTAGGCTACATTACATTACACTACAGTATTACATTACTTACACCTGTATGTGTTTAAAGAGTAGCACAACTATTTTTAGAGCTCCTTTTGAACCCTATTTACTCCCTTAAGCTAATCTTAAGATCTGCTAATCTTTTGTTTATCTTAAACGCTAATACAGAGTAAGTTGTCTTGTAGAGATTTTGAGTCTTCTGAATTTATTTCCTGCCAAATATTTCTCATCAATAAATTTGCTAATGTTATTCTTCAACCCTGTATCTAAATTGTTTTTATATGCTATATAGTAAACTACATAGGTCTTGGAACTGATCTCTGGGGCACTCCACTAGCAGCAACTTTCACTCGGACTTTGCACCAGTTATGCTAACCTTTGTTTCCCTTGCAATAACCATGCTCTATTCCAGGGGTTCTCAACCCCTCATTACCTAATAATATAAAACTGAATACTGTACAGTTTTAAAATGTAATACTGTACAGATACTTAACCAATGTAATTATTGTTTTGTGACTTGTGGTCATCATAGTTGTAACAAATATACCAGTTAATGATAGAGGGAAAAGATTATATCCAGAACCAATTCATTAAAGGTAAACTATTTTTCTGATATATTTATACATTATGTGGAATATTGTACTTTTAAGTCATCATTGTAAAGATGTGTCAAATACAGTACACTTGGTTTTTTTTATATATAGCCAAACTAGCTTAGAGCATACTTCTGAAAATAATTATGTTTACTGTTAACTAAAGTACTGTATAGGAAAATTCCAAGTGCTTATACACTTCTTGTACAGTACAGTATTATTTCATATATTTTTTTTAATTAAGATGGACTCATTGTTTATGGTGTGTTTTCATACAGAGACAATAACAGTTCTGCCTGGATTCTGCATAAGCCTCTTGGAGAACAAGCAGAGTATGGAAAAGTTGGAGGGACTGCATCCTCTGAAAGATTCACAGTGAATTCTCGCACAGAAAGGATGATTTCTGTCACACATCAGCCTTCAGGACTTTCTACAGTTTTTATAGCACCAGTAGCAACATTCAGTGGTATTCACTCTAAAAGTGTATGTTAATATATTCATATATGTCATTAGAGACCATCTTATGGTTTTGTTTTGATTCTTTTATTAATTTTTCTTTCTTAATTTCTTTCTATTTCTTTCTTTCTTCTCTTTATTTTTTTCATACTTCATTCTTTGCTTTTCTGAATTTCTTTCTAATGACAGCTTTCCATTTTGTATCATGAGTGATGTCCCAGGCGGTATAGTGGTAACACACTCACCCAATACCTTGTGAATGATTTGGTTTGGATTAAAGTCCAGGCCAGGGAGGATTGACTGGGTGCCAGTCCTTAATTGTTTGCTCTTGTTCACCCAGCAATATTGGGTACTTTTGTTGTTAACTGATTGTCAGGTTATATTCCAGGGGAAAAAGCTAGTGGTAAGATTTATCATGAGCTAGGGAAAGAGAATTCTCTCAGGAGTCAAGTCTTCTACTCCTGTACCCACAGGTGTTAAAAAAAAATTAATGTACTTGAAAATACAAATACAGGTACTTTAATTAGTACAAAAAAGTATGGCTTCTTCAAATAAGGGTGCTACATAGCCTTCCCGGCTTGGTGCTTTATTTTGATAATTACTTACTAATGCTGCCCTTATTAGAAGAATTATCTCAATGGCAAAGTGTCTGGCAGCTTATGACTCTTGTTAGCAGGCTTCAAGATTTCCTTTCCCATACCTCATTTTGGGCCTTATTCTATTATGTTTCCTTAAATGCAGTCCACCAGTCAGTTTATAACCAGCTTCCCAATTATTCCTGGGGGTGACAGGGGTGAATAGTTATATATCGGTGCCCAATTAACTCTACCTCCTCAGAGCTCAAATCTTGTTGAAATTGCTCATGAGGCATTGGGTGAGCATGCTACAGCTGCACCACAGGAGCTATTGTATGTATTGTAAGATACTTCTGCCTATAAAGACTCTAGATATCTCCCTTGATTGGGTGCAATCAAAATATCCACAATGATGCTAATAATATTCATACTGTACAGTATTTTTCTGTGTTCACCAGCAAGGTAACCATTTTAACACATGTATGTGTAATGATGTAAGGGTGAAGAGGGAGAACGGCCTATTGACATAGCTCGGGTGCAGGGGGGGGGGGGTTGTGTAAAATCCTGGTTTGTGCCTCAGAGAGGCTACGGGATCCAGTAAGTTCAGTAGAACTTTGGTTTCAACCCTTTTAACCCTGTTGTAGCTCAGTTGATTAAGGCAGTGTCTGGGATGCTCCCGGACGCAGGTTCTAATCCTTGTCACGGCCCTTGTGGATTTGTTCATTTAACCATTTTAAATTCACAATAAAACATTTTGCTTCTTGCATTCTCCATTGCCAATGGCATTCCCAAGTGGATGCCAAACATGTCATGGTCTCGCCCAGTCAGTTTTGATTGTGTTTTTGACGTCATGTTACTGACGGTTGTCATGGATAATTGTACAATACATTATCATTGCTAAGCTGTTGTTATATCATAATGGACTAATGCTGAACTGTGATGATGACTATAAAATGTTGAAATATACGAAAGGCATATTGTCCCTGCTACTAAACTTCATAGGCAGTACAGTATTAGATTTAGATAATGTGGCTAGTAATGCATTTCTGGTGACAGAAATAGGCCTTTTACTTCATGTGATATTCTCTATATACCAATTATTTGTACTTAGACGACCAAGCCACACACCGGAAGATGAAGAGACGACGATGTTTCAAGGTCCATTATCAAGTCGATTGTGATAATGGTCCAGGACGGACTGAAACGTCGTCGTCTCTTCATCTTCTGGTGTGTGGTTTGGTCATCATATCTTCAGTCACATTACTGTGACTCATCATCTGTATGTGTACTTTGTCTGTGTAATGAGTATTCTATCCATATTACCATATATATTATATAATTGATTGTAAAATGTTTTAACCAAAACTTGTTGTTGGTGTAGGTTTTGTGTGTGAGTGTTGCTGATGGAGGTCTTGGAGTGTCTGTGTGCACAGACAACAAGTTACAGGTCTGGGAAACAAAAACAGGAATTGTTAGAGTAAGTTCTTTCTTTTATTCTGTTATTCAATTGCAAACAGATTAATTTTAGTGGTAACAATAGTATCTTAATACCAAATTGAACATACTTGCAATGGAAAGTTTGGAATATGGCCAGTGTGTAAATGTACTTCCTTTTCAACAGTACACATGTACATGAATGTCAAAACAAATCAGTTAACTGCTTATTAAACCTTATCTAATTATTTGTAGTTCTTTTGCACCTAAAACACTTTCTCCATCTCCAAGTATGTCCATATCTTTGGTTCCATTTGAGTTCAGGTACCATTATGATTTTGTGGTTTAGTAAATGGGACACTATTCTTATTTTATTTTCATCTTCCTTCTCTAGCATAATTTTGTGCTTAATGGAAGAAAAAGTGTCGCCTAATAGGAAAGAGTAACATAATATTTTCTTTCAGTGACATGCTTCTCCTTTTATCATTCATATATATTTATTATTGAATATGTACTGTTGCTTGTTTATAATTTCTTTACTGGTACCTTTCTCTATACACTTAGGTCTTCTATACCCCTCTCTTCACCCTTCGCTTTTGTGCTTTATAGGTGGTTCATACCTGGTTGTTATTGATTTAGGGGCGATGACGATTGTGGGATTGGATGCACCCGGCGTACCCGTGAAGGGTTAATCGCGAAGCTCAGAAAGGTGAAACGCCAAGCCTAATTACGAAATGAGTGATGCCAATCACTGGAAATTATTATGCCTCACAGCAAATAAATGCACAGGCAGATGATTGGGGAGCCCCAGGAGTCCCTCAGGGTGACAAGCATTCATATCTGGTTGAATGTGATGTGGGCAGAGCACCCCTTGTTACGTTACTTGCGCGCCTCGGATTCTGTGTCCGGGGACGCGGCTTGAGTTGACCCAGTTTCTCTTGTTCCCTGCTCCAGAGCTCAGGTTCAGGTCATCTGCAAGGTTATCAAGTTCAGCCAGCCTGTGGTCTACCCTCGTCTCCATGATGTTCATAAATTCGCAGCTTTGGCTGCTGTGTTTGGCAATATGTCTTGAACGGATATTCGGGCACGAGAGTTTTGGAGTTGGAATAGGGTCCTGGCTGCCCGTTATCTCATTAATGTGCCAAGCCCTCAGTGGTCTCATGTCCCCTTGGGTTGTTGGTTGCAGCCAGTTGTCTCATTTTCATGATGGGTTGTGTGGTGCAGCTGCCTTCCGGGTAAGTTCCTTTATTATTTCTCTTTGGGTAGTTAGCTCCAGGGAGCCAACAGAGTTTCCCCACAGAAAACCAGCATTGAATGTAATGAAACACCATTTTCTGGGTAGAGCCCCGGAGGCTCCCTGGCACCCTCCCTTTCCCCGGTTGGCAGGTTTCGGATCCATTTTCAGCCTCCAAACTGACAGTCCGGCTGCCGCTTTTCCCCTCACCGGATGTAGGGGGTGGGATCAGCAGGAACAAGCGGCACACTGTGTGGTAGCTTGTTTTCTTTGGGAGAGTTTCTAGCCTCTGTTCAGTCTTAGGTTGCAATATTGCAACCAGAAGGGGTCTGATTTGAAGTGCTTACCATTCTGGGTGCTCAACCCCGGTCGATGGCAGACAAGAATACTTTTATACATAAGGGTTTCATAGGCCATTGCTCCCTTTGTGTCTCTGAGGGGACCATGTTCTGGCTAGTGGTCCCCGGTAAGCATGACAACTCCATAAAACTGAAGCCCAGTGCTAATATTATTTTGTTTTATATTTCAGAGAGTCCTTGAAGGTCATCTTTTTGATGTATATACATGTTGCCTCTTCCCATCTGGCATTGTGGTACTGTCTGGCGGAGGAGATATGCAGCTTCGCATCTGGGATGCTGCCACAGGAGCGTGTCCTGTGGTACTCAAAGGTCACACCGGTGCAGTCCTAGACACAGCTATTGTGGATCGTGGCAAAAATGTAATCTCGGTTAGCAAGTGAGTAAGAGGTACAGTACTACATTGCTAATCATTTGACAGAAATGTTAAATTTGTTAGCCCCTCTTCATCCATTGAAAATTAATTATTAATAATATTTTGCAGAGAATGAGTCACAATAATGTGGCTGAAGATATGATGACCAAACCACACATCAGAAGATGGAGAAACGATGACATTTCAGTCTGTCCTGGACCAAAAATGCCAATTGATTATGGTCCAGAATGGATTGAAACATCGTCATTTCTCCATCTTCTGATGTGTGGTTTGGTCACAATAATATTTTGTTTTTATTTGATGATCTTTTACTCTCCATTGAGGCATCCTCCATTCCTTAAATATCAATTTTTGCTTGCTTTTATTTAAGCAGGAGAAAAAATAAAGTAATTATATAATCTGTATTTATAATACTGTATATGAATATAGTACACGACCTATGTTGTTGAACAGTACAGTTGTCTATGTCATATCTATAAACCTTGGGAAAGAGACAGACTAAATAACCCATATGGTTTGAGAAAATAATCCTCTCTCCTCACATGTTCTTGTAAAAATGTGAGCATCTAAATTTTGGTATAATAATATCCAAGATGAGAGACTTGTAATTTGCAATAACGTTACCTTGGCTGCTCTCTGAAATAGTCTTTGTCTGCCTGTGTACCACAGGGATGAATGACTTTTCAAATCACTTTGGCCCCTCAACTGGTGGAAGGGAGGGAAGACAGGGATGGTAAAGTTCAATCCACTACCGAAGAGACCGCTCACAATAACAACAAAGGGCAGAAATATCAACTCGTCAATATTAAAGTGACTGGGGTCAGTTTCAGCCGGGAAATAGTGTTTCTGTTTTACCCATTTATTTTGTGCTTATCATTCCACATGTTATTATAATTATTATTATTATTATCATGAACAAATCCACAAGGGCCTTGACGAGGGGTTTGAACCTGGATGTGCCCAGGCGCGCTCTAGTCAACTGTACCACCACATGGAAAAGAATTGCAACCTGGTAGAACTAGTTCTACATTCTTTACAAGAATGTAAGAACTCTTGTATATACAGTATATATATATTAAAAAAAGATAGATACCCATGAGACAAACTGGGATAATACAGTATGCAACCCTGCTAGTGAAAAATGATAAGATTAAAAAATACAGTAAACTTAATATTGTAGTAGAAATGTAAAGCACAATTTCCATGGCAAAATATGAAAAAAAACTTTATTTTTATTTGGGATTTGTTATTTTTAACTAATTAACTTAATTCAACATTTAAAACTAAAACTTCTGGATTTCTTACAGAGATGGACAAGCTAAGCTCTGGAACTGTGGTCAAGCAAAATGCATTGCTACTTTATTGTCAGCCGAATCCATCATAAACTGTTGTGCAATTTGTGATGTCACAGGAGTGATCAACCTACCAGCACCTGCAGAAATTCCAGGTTTGCATTTTAAACACAATCTATAAAATTACAGTGAAACCTCCAAAACAGAGACCTTCCTGTTGCATATTCCTCTAATTAACAGACCAGTTCTGTATACCATATTGTCATTTTGAATTTCAGATTTTTTATGGAGACATTGAAATTCTGTAGGGGGACATATTGAAACATGATTCGTCATGTGGTTTCCAGCAGATTGGACTGCATTTTTCTATTTTTGCTCTTTTAATACTGTGATAAATAATATGGCATTTATATTTTGTAAGTGTTTTACTGTGCTTGTACTGCATTTTAAATTACCGTATATAAAAAGTTACTTTTTTCTGTAGTATCCAAACCTACAGTGAGTACACATGTACCAACCATGTGTTTTCTTTTTGTGTGAGTGCAGTCTAATCTCGTGTTATTCGAGCATTTTCACCGACTCTTCCTTGAATATTTAGCGTCATTATTTGCAAGTTGGAATCATATCATCTGGCAAGAGTAGTAACTATACATCAGGCAAGGGCAAGAGGAATTTTATTATCACAGACAAAAAGGTTGCATTATTGAGAAACTTGATTGTAGTTGAGGAGGAAAACGCTGCTGAAAAAACTTTTATATCTTTCCTTAATCTTGGCAGCTTAGTCTGTTTATTAAACAGTTTATGAGCTTTGCAGTGCTATGAGGGTTTTCTTTAACATTAATACCCTTTGGGTTAAGAACGACTTTGCAGTGTTTCAAAACTTGTAAACTATTTAATAAATAAAGCTGTACGAGTTTTGTAAGGATACACTTCCGTGCTTGGTTAATCCTGACTGTGGTATTGAGTTACTTTCATCATATTTTCTATTAAAAAATATAATTTTTTCACTATTAAAATAATAGATTTTTGTTAATTGTATTACTGTACTGAAAAGATGATTATGGGGTTGAAACAGAATTGCTACATCCAAAGCCATTTATTTTGGTATATTGTACTGTATTAATGTCTACTTCTAAATTTCAGATGAGCTTGAGTATGACACAGCTGGGAAGGTACTGCTAGTAGGTTGTGAAGATGGTCAAGTTTACTTAGTGGCAGTGGAGAGCCGGTCCATCATGGGCTCATTCTCAGTTGGTGCAACAGTCCTCTCAGTGTGTTGGGCCTCTCCCACAGTTGGGGTTGTTGGCTTGAGTGATGGCTGCCTGAAAATCATTGATGCTGTGGTTAGTATATTATTCATAAGTGAACAGAAATAATTACTTAAAACTGCTACTGGCTGGCAATTTGCAAATTCATTTGTTTTTTAATTAAATTTGTCTCTACCATTTCAATACAGTAAAGACTAGTTGTTTGGAGGAAATAACGAGTAAATTTTCAACTGAATTCAAATCTAATGCAATCCATTGGCTATAGTACTTGAATTTAAGGCACCTGTAAACACTCATCATATTTCTATCCAGTTCAGTTTTTTTTTAACCTTTTCAGAGCCTTACGACTCGCCCTTTAGCCCACCACAGTGCCTCACAAGTGGAGAGTTTGACTCCTCACAGAGGGGGAGTTCTAGCTGGGAGACGGGACGGCACTTGTCAGTTCTATAAACTGGATGGATCTAGTCCTTACCAACTCACTGGCTCAGATTGTGATCCAATATACAAAATTGCAAGTGATTCTAATTATATTTATACAGCATGCAGAGATGGAATAATTAGAAAGTATAGGAGCAGGGATATAGATGTTTGAGTTGACCAGGATATGAGAACATTGAAGTTTGAATAGGAGAGCACAGCAGGAGCCTTGATATTAATATTTAAATTGGGAAGTACATAGTGTAGAAATAATAGCTCTGAAAATAAATAGCAACGTCTTTGATTATACATAATTTTGGAATGTGTTGACCCAAATTTGACAAATATAAAAATAATACTGTTAAATACTGTAGTTATATTTGTTGGAAGTTGTAAAATCTGTGAAACCTTATAATTCAGTTTCTGCAGGTGAAGTTCAAGTTGACATGCATATCAACTTTTTATCATCATCATTGCTGTAGGTGGAGAAAAGTAGATTAAAGCAACACCTGTAAGTTGTTAAATTGAAAGTACAGTATCATTAAGTTGGATGTCTTACTGACGGAAACTATATTAGTAACAACAGGAACAAATGAAGGCAAAATAAGCAAACATAATTACATTAATATTGAATGAAATTTCTTGCTAGATATGAACCAAATCATCTTGATATTGTTACCTCACACCCAGCTTTGCTTATCAACAAATAATTAATTAACAGCAGTATCAGGGGCCGTGTGAGTAACTTAAGTTTTGTAAGATTCAATCAACAATTGTCTGGAATATAAATAACAGCAGCATACTAGAATATGTATTAACAAATGTGTTTGGTAGAATGTATTAACAGTTGTAGATTATGAAAAATAATTGGTAAAATATGAATAACATGTTAGAATATGGCTAATCATAGTATCTGGTAGAATATGGCTAACCATAGTGTCTGGTAGAATATGGCTAACCATAGTGTCTGGTAGAATATGGCTAACCATAGTGTCTGGTAGAATATGGCTAACCATAGTGTCTGGTAGAATATGGCTAACCATAGTGTCTGGTAGAATATGGCTAACCATAGTGTCTGGTAGAATATGACTAACTATAGTATCTGGTAGAATATGGCTAACGATTGTGTCGGGTAGATTATGGAGCACATTTGATAGTTCTTATGATAGCGTATTTGAAGCTGCAAAAGGAGAATTCCTTTGGTATGATTACATGTGGTGATCAATCAACATTAGTTTGGGTTTTGACTCTGAAAATTCACACTGATGTGTTGCTCATGATGTCAATTTGGACATTAAGTTGGTATATATTTACTTATAGAAAAATAAGTAGTATGGGGAATTGAATTATCAGGGAAAAGCACCAAGCCATTATGTCTATATAGCAGTTGGAAGGGGGGTCAGAATAAGGATTTGGGGTTGGAAGGAATAGTGCCCAACCATTTGGACGGTCAGGGATTGAACGCCGACCTGCATGAAGCGAGACCGCCGCTCTACCGTTCAGTCAAGTGGTTGGGATTTAGTATGGGGAGTGTTGAATATTTTTATTTGGGAAGCATTGAGGCCAATGTTCACAGATCTACACCAATGAACTTAGTTTATAAACTGGAACAGGTTAAACTAAAGCGAAATATGAGGGCTGAATTTGTTGCAACTACAGGAAACCTTTGTGTTAAGTTACTTATATTATAAGGATTAGATTTGTTTATCATATGCAATTTCATAATTACCATTATTGTTTTGTTGTGTGCAGAGATACCTGGGTAAGATGAAACTTAAGCAATTGCATTTCTGTTTTACATTATCGTACGGAATAGTTGTAGTTCACAGTGTGTTGATGTGGTATACGCACGGTTCTGAAGCAATTTCCTAGTACCCTTGGAAATGTTGTCTGCATACAACATGTTGCTATAAGAAGATTTAGAGTTAGGTATTTACTTTTGGAATAATATAGTGTGTTTACACGCCCTCATTTATAGGTCTGTTATTATTTAACTTTATATTTTCTTTATTTGTTATAATTGACTTTTATTCTTTCTTTTTCATGCTTCCCTTCATTGATGTTCTGTCCCATTGATCAACTACAGTTGCTATTATTTTGTTTGAAGGTTTGCTCATTTTGCACTATGCTCTTACCAAGCTTACCAAACTTACCAAGCTCTTACCATTTTGGGTAATGTCCTACAACACATGCCCTTTTTTTATATATATAACTACATTCACTATGGCATCTCTATTCCGTATTGTGTTCTAAGCCAGTCTTTGTTAAAAAAAAAATAGTTTTTAGGCATATTCAGTATTTTTTTGTATGGAGGTACTCTGCTGGTATTGTGTTCCACAGTATATAATTGAAATTTGTGGTTTTTATTTATAATAATTATAATTATTGAATAATTTTATGATAAAGAATACCACTCATTTACTGTTTAAAAACACTGACATTGATATTTTGAGTAAAGGAATTAGTTTCCATGGAATTTAAATTTTACGCAAAGGAAGTGTTTATTTTAGATTACTATAGATATATTGATGATGGAAGACATATAAAATGTGAAAAGGTCACATATTGTACAGACTTTTATGGGCAAAGATAGTAAGATTTAAAATGAACTGCATAATTGATAGAAGAAGTGGAATTGAGATTAAAGGGGGAAGACAATATAGTGATCCTGGTTCTACCAGCCTTAATGTCGTTAATTACTACTAAGCTTTTGATTTGTCCATTAAGGAGGCTCAGTTGTCTTAATTATGACCTTGCGTCATGGTGCACTTTGTAAACAATATTATGACAAGTGGATTAAGGAGTAAAGGTCTACCTTGTGCTAGTCTTCACTTTATGGTTTGTTATTGCGTTAATGTCCTATTGTCAAGGATAGGAAGCCTGTTAGGTTTATCGAGGTTTCCCCTAGGCCAGCTACTGACCTTCCCCACCATGCAATCAACAACAGTTGTCTAACTCCCAGGGGCCTGTTTACTGCTAGATGAACAGCCATATCAGATGAAAGGAAATTGAGCAAAAACGTTTGGCTGTGACCCAACTGCTGGGAATCTAAATATTGCAGCAAATTAATGCTCCAAATAATACATTTATTAATACTTTTCCATTTCTAGGTGAACATCCCTACCATTTAAGATGAATTAGTAGAGTATTCAGTATAATTAGTTAATTACGTGCTATTAATTTGAGAAGCTCGCTACTAGGCCTAATAAACAAGGATAATTTTTGTCTAACAGCCAGAGTAATTTTTTATTTTTTCAAATATCTTTAAATATTAGTCTGCCCATAATATAACATATTATACTAAATAAAACATTATATTTACTGAATTATTTAATAATTTTTTGTAATTCATTGTCAGGGGACAAGAAGCCAGGTTATATATACAGTACATGTTAGGCTTATACCATGGTTCCCCCACCCTCCCCAAGGTTGAATTACTGACCCCGCTCAGGATGCAACCCCACAACAAGCTAACTCCTGGGTATCTATTTACTGCTAGGTGGACAGGGGCATGAGGTGAAAGTTAATTATTGTCATTACTGTGCTGCCAAGATTCGATCCCGAAATTCTCGATTTTGAGTCGAGAACGAACCCGACCGTACTACCGGGACCCTCATAAATTTAGAGAGGTTTGCCTATGTTAGGCAGAATTTAGGAATATGACAGTGTCAGACCATGGAGGAAAATTGAAACAGGAATTTCCTTAAGTACTTTTGTATATTAATACATCTTCAGAGTGGTTTTACAGGTCGAGTACTGGACATAAATAGGCAGGAGAGAATGGTGGAGTGAGGTGAGGTACAATACGTGGACACTGCATATGGAATATGCATACTGTAATAGGAAATTTTAGGCAACTTGACCATGTTTTTACCTTATGTTGATTCTGGGGATCAATGTCTCCATGACCCAATCTCTGACCAGGCCTCCTAGTTGGTGGTCTGGCCACCTAGACTATTAGATGCAGCTGTTCCCTGTTTGAAGTACGAGTCACATTCTGGTTGATCAGGTATCTTTTGGGGGAGTTTTATCTAGTTTTCTGTAAACACCATGAAAGGTCGGCTAGCTATGCCTTTTACAGTATGTTTTGAAGGAGTGTGTTAAAAATATTGATCACCATAATATTGATACAGTATCCTGTAATTGACTCTTAGTGTACTCATTGCACCTCAACTTTTCAATGGGGCTACCATGCACTTCCTGCCATGCATCCTGGTCTCATGAGGAGTTATTTCCATGTGCAGACTTGGAACCAGTCCCTCTAATATTTTCCAAGTGTAAATTATTGTCTCTCTTGCATGTGATTAAGAGAAAAATTTGGTCAATGTTATAATGATCCCAATAGTTTAGATGGTTTATTGAATGGATTTGGGCAGTGAAAGATCTCTGCACATTCTGCAGATCAGCAATTTTTCTAGCTTTGACTGGGACTGTTAATGTACAACAATATTCCACTATAGAGAACACTAGTGTTTTATATAGTACCATTACTGGTCTGGCATATCTTGTTTGAAAGGTTTTTGTTTTCCAACCTGTAATTTTTTTTGTATTTTTTTTATTACACTTGTGAGTACAGGAACAGATGACTTCTGACTCATGTTAGCACGTTGAGAGCTTTCCCTTCTCATAGCTAATGGAAAACCCCATTCTCTAGTTTTTTCCTGTCACATGACCCATCAATTGTTAGCAACCAAGTATCCAATTACTGCTGGGTGAACAAGTTAAGGGTTCATGCCCAGACAGTCCTCCCTGGCCAGGACATGAACATAGACAAATTGCTCATGAGGCATAGGACGAGTGTGTTCTTTAAAGTATGTTGGAGATAACACCAGCATTTAGGCTCTGTCTCCACATGATGTTTATGGCCTGTGATAGTGATTTTTTTGCAATTCTTGATGAATATAGAATTCCAGGAATCTGGTCCTGATAAGATTGGTAAGGTAGTTTTGGCTCAAATATACAGTAATAAGAAATATCATGTTCATTAAATGACATTAGAGGTGTTTGTAAAGCTTAATTTTGAGTGAAATTCGACTTTAAGCAATTCTGGCTACTGTACTAAATGGAAAAATTATATTATTGAATTGGGTATATAGTATAAGTTTTATTTTTGTCTTGTAATTCTATTACTTATATTTGTTCAGAAATATGATATAAATTCAATCATGGATGGGGGCTGTGTAACAGTTAACAGAAATACAGCTCTTAAAGAATGAAATAAATCACTGTTGATTATAACACATCTGCAGATGTGAAAATTTGGTGATATGTTTGCTTGTATGACAATAGATGAGGCACATTTAGGTTGGTTGTAACTCATGTACAAAGTCACTACTGTATCTTGGTGAAAAGCTACTTATTTTAGATTGATAATCCACAAGGCTGTGATTTACAAAATAAATATTGGAATTGTACTCCTGTTTTTATACTATTTTGAACCAAATCTGTCAATATTTTATTTTGTTCCCACTGGAAATTTCTCTTACTTGAATTTTAACTCTACCGTTAATCATCTGTATTAATTTTCAAGTGCTCAAAAATAATAGAGGAATACATGTTTGAACCTGAAACATTCATTAATTATTCCAAACGATTGTTTTGATATTAAATGAGGTTTTATTGATAGTGATTCTTTTGTTATATTTTTGATAAGTAATTAAGAGTGTTTTGTTTGGTTACACTGAAAAAAAAACAAGAAAGAGGGTTGCCTCTGTAAGCTTAAGTGTGGAAAATGGATAGGAACAGGTAAAATAAAAGTTACTTATAAGTACAAAATATTCAATGTGGAAGAGAAGAAAATGTCATGAGGCCTACAAGAGATGTTGTTTAGGAAAAGACCCATCAGTAGGTGGAAGGGCACCTTGTACATTTTCTTAGAGTAGTCCATTGCAACCCTGCACATTTCTGTGTGATTTTGTTCTTGTATGTGATGATATACAGTACTGTATACTGTATCATATGAGGAAAGGTAATATTTTCTTCTACTGGATACCAAGTGGTGAAAATAGAATACACAATGACTAGGCAAAATTTGGTCTGGTGAACCATGGAAAGTTAAGCTAACTAGAAAAGGTTTGTTGAATATAAATGTTAAGTAGCACTGCCTTATAAGGTAGGATGATTTTTTTTTCCCAAATATTTAATTAACTGACCATCACCTCACCTGCAAGGTAAATATTGATTAATAAAGTATTACAGCCTGGAACATTCACAAAATAATTCTACACACTTGTTTGGGGTCCTATGGGCAAACTTCCTGGCATTGTGACAATCTGCATAAAAGATAAGAGTATCCTTTGAAAATAGACATTAGAAATACTCAAATAGATAGAAAATATAACAGTAAAAACAGATGAAATTGCACTACTGGGAAGAGAGCAAAATCCTTCACTTATGGCAGATTATGTACAAGTCCAGTAGAGTAAATGTGATCATAAAAACGAACCACCAGTCAATGAGAGGAAGTTCTCACGGTGGTGAATCTCTCTCAAGCCTTACAAAAAAAAATTTTGTTAAACATTTATTAAACTGTATACTCCTGTACTATAATTTATTGAAATATACTGTACTGTATTTTATTAAAGTGTTGTACTGTACTTGCCTATCACAACCCCCTCATGGAAGATGCCTTCACATGGCTGGGGACTTGAGAGTTTTAGTGATCTGGAAGGCAGTTGAGGATAGCTTGTGATGCTGCTTCTCTGGCTGAAGGTGAGAAGCGAGATCAAAATGGTGCTTGTGGCTTCATGCCACCCGCGAGTTGCCATGCACGGAGTCCCATATATACAGTATGTCTACGTGTGGTGGTAGAGTCTACGCAAAGACTGACGCTCCTGGGAGGCATCATTCTTCTTTAGTTGGAGGGGGACAGGGCTAAATTGGGTGATTCAATGAGACCTGGCTAGTCAGTTCTGACTAGGGGGCCTGACAGCTGAATGGACAGCGCTCTGGATTCCTAGTCCCGACGTGCTGGGTTTACTGTTCACCTAGCAGTAAATAGGTACCTGGTAGTTAGACAGCTGTTACGGGCTGCTTCTTGGGGGGATGTGTAACAAAAAGGAGGCCTGGTCGAGGACCGGGCTGCGGGGAAGCTAAGCCCCGAAATCATCTCAAGATAACCTAAGGGTCAAGTGGATTGCCGTTCGTCCCTGGGATTCCTTCAGACTCTCCATTGAATACCACCATATACTATGGATGTTACCCTTAAAATTTGTATACCTTTCGTTAATGGGCTCTGTGGTAGTGAGGATACAAAGAAGTGAAGTCCTATCCTAACTTTCTAAGAATTGCTTGTACATTCCGTTAGGCTCAATAGGTGGGTCATCAGACCCGTGAGTTATTTTCCATCTTGATTTAACGTAGCGGGTGGGCTCAGTTGCTGATTTACAGTAGTAGCAAATGATGCAGTCGGTTCACAACTAATTGATCCTAGGTTCGATTCTTGGGGAGTGCAGGACGTCTGGGGGGATATTTCCTTACACCTGGTGCCTCTCTTCATCCAGAAGTAAATATGTATCTAGAAGTTAATCAAATGCTGTAGGTTGTATCCTGGGAAATGGCCAGTCATTGACCTAGGAAACCGGAATATGCATAGCAGGTTTCCTGAACTTGACATGGAAGAACCATTCCCACGCCTGTATAGTAAACTAGCCGTCACTGATGGCTACGATCATATATTTTTACCTTATAGGGGGAGGGGAGACCTCGATATGAGCCTAACGTGTCTCTGCCCCCCACTGGCTGCCTGTCCCCGGACACAATGTATTATAATTAATTATATCGAGGCCCTTCTCCCTCCAAGGTGGAACTACTACCCCCCCCCCAAGGATGCAACCCCACAAGCTGACTAATTCCTTTGTACCTATTTACTGCTAGGTAAGCAGGAGCACCAGGTGATAGGAAACGCGCCCAACAATTCTGTCCCGCCTAAGGATTCGAACCTGGAATTCCCGATTGTGAGTCGAGAACAAACCCAACTGTATGTAATGACAGCTTTTCAGTAACATGATTATTATTGATGTTGTTGTTATTAATATTATTATAATTATTTGAACAAATTTATAAGTGCCTTGATGAGGGGTTCGAACCTAAGCACGAGATGTTCCCAGACGCGCTCCCCAGAGGTTCGAACCCTCATCACAGCCCTTAAGGATTTGTTTAATTTATATATCACGTTATTGTGATTTGTGTGTGTGTATTAATATTGTTATTATTATTATATATACTACACAATTTTATATAAATAAAATTATGTTTCTCATATGAGTCCAGTAAATTATACAAGAATTATTACATTAATCAGATGTATATTGACTGCCAAAAGATTCATTCTATTTATAACTAATGCAAAACTGGGAAATCTGTATCTATAAAATAAATGTGTCTGTCCACAGTGGCCAGTTACAGCCCCGCTCCTGTGCCAGGTAAGTCCACTACGGGCTCACCATAGCCCGTGCTACTTGTAACTTTTATTCCGGGTAGCTGAATCTGAAGAGAGAGAGAGAGAGAGAGATTGGGTGAGACAGGGATTGGGAAAGAGAGATTGGAGAGGAAAGGGAACCCAGACTGGATTATACGCCACAGTCCTTGTACTCAGATGTGTATATACGTGTCCAAAACTGACTTATTAATTGTACGTGACAGGTTTGGTTTGCAGTGTTGTTAGCCCTGTGGCCCTCAATCGTTCCTGGTATGAGAGTCGACTTAGTTCTGGAATTATTTTTGTCGCCCGGTGTTGAACTTTCTCCGAAGCAGATATGTCTTTCTGAAGATGAGGTTTCCATGCTTGGATACAATAATGCAAGCCCCGTACGAGAGATTTATACAATTGCATAACTACCTTCTTTTCACTCACTGCATCACAAGAGTCAAATGCTGATGCAATTCGTCAGTGTCCACTACCATCAAAAGACTGAAAAACATGACCATAGTCTACAACAATGTCATGATGAACATATCATGATCGTTCACCCAATGGGTGAAAATGTATCTTGTATTTTTAGTCCTACATTGTGCCTTGTTGAGCTTGACACCGTTACTCCTTATCTGTTACATCAGACCTTTTGAAGAAATTGTCTGGATCAACATATTCCAAACTGTTCAGTATTTTGAACGTTTCGATGAGATCAGCCCTATCATGTCTGGTTTGCAGTGTTGCTAGCCCTGTGGCCCTCAACCGTTCCTGGTATGAGTTGACTTGGTTCTGGAATTCCTTCTGTTGCCCGGTGTTTTTGGGCTAATAACTTTTCTGCCCAACTCTGTTAGTAGAAATACAGAGACGCTTATTTAGCTCAACAATGAGGTCGTCTAAGAAAGGCTTGTTGAGATTACTTTCAAGTAAATCAGGTAAAAGTATTCCATCATTGCCGTGTAGCATTCATTACCTTGTTGTTTTGGGGATCGACCGATTGAGGCTGTCTTATGACAACTTCCTGTTGACAAAGTTGCTGGAAGTTTGACAAAGTTAGATCGCTTCAACCTCAGCATCTCTATATGAAGAGACGGACCCGCTTCCCCTTGTTGAAGCCATCGACCCCGTTCCTCTCCCTAGTTGAAGCTATGGACCCGCTCCCCTAGCTAAAGCTATGGACCGCCTAGCTGAATCTATGGACAAATCCACAAGGGCCGTGACGAGGATTCGAACCTGCGTCCGGGAGCATCCCAGACACTGCCTTAATCGACTGAGCTACGACAGGGTAAAAAGAGTTGAAACCGAAGTTCTACTGAACTTACTGGATCCCGTAGCCTCTACGAGGCACAAACCTTTGTTCATTTTATGCATCACGTTAGTGTGATTTCTGTGTGTAATGAATCTATGGACCTTCTAGCCTAGGTTAGCCTCTGTTATTGATTAGCCAGTATAATATTATTAGTTTATATGCATGCTTGTGAAAAGTACTCATCAAAAGAAAAGCCCTGGGCCAGTATGCTGTTGCTGTTTTAGATTCAGCTACTCAGAAAAAGAAAAAAAACATGAACCACGGGCTATAGTGAACCCGTAATAGTATGCATATTGTAACGATAATCTGAAAATAGAGCGGCGGCTATTCTGGCTGGTGTTGTGCCAATCACACATTAAATAAAAAAAGTAAGATAAAATAAATAAGACTTGTGACCTCTCCACTGTGAAAGCTGCCGGTAAAACAAAGAGAATAAACACTTAAACATTTAATAAAACAAAAATGACTTTAATAACACACAAAACAAAGCCCATTATCCACTCGGCTGAAACACAATATTATGAAAAGAAATATAAATACAGGTGAGTTTTGCGTTAAGCAAAAGAGAGGTGCAAATTAGTTTATACAAAAGCTGTATGCATCTTTTGTCTCCTGGGGAGGCGACAGTATATGTTACTGCTGAGAGCACGAAGTGTATTCTGAGGACTGGACGATTGGTTGACTGATAAAGATTA